AGTTCTTCTGTGTATTCTTGCCACCTCTTCTTAATATCTTCTGCTTCTGTTAGGTCCATACCATTTCTGTCCTTTATTGAGCCCATCTTTGCATGGTATCTCTATTTGGTATCTCTAATTTTCTTGAAGAGATCTCTAGTCTTTCCCATTCTATTGTTTTCCTCTATTTCTTTGCACTGATCACTGAGGAAGTCTTTCTTAGATCTCCTTGCTATTCTTTGGAACTCTGCATTCAAATGGGTGTATCTTTCCTTTTCTCCTTTGTCTTTCTCTTCTCTTCTTTTATCAGCTACTTATAAGGCCTTCTCAAACAACCATGTTGGCTTTTTGCATTTCTTTTTCTTGGGGATGGCCTTGATCACTGCCTCCTATACAATGTCACAAACCTCAGTCCATAGTTCTTCAGACATTCTGTCTATCAGAACTAATCCCTTGAATCTGTTTCTCACTTCACTGTATAATCATAAGGGATTTGATTTAGGTCATACCTGAATGGTATAGTGGTTTTCCCTACTTTCTTCAATTTAAGTCTGAATTTGGCAATAAGGAGTTCATGATCTGAGCCACACTCATTCCCAGTCTTGTTTTTGCTGACTGTATAGAGCTTCTCCATCTTTGGCTGCAAAGAATATAATCAATCTGATTTTGTTATTGATCATCTGGTGATGTCCATGTGCAGAGTTGTCTCTTGTGTTGTTGGAAGAGGGTGTTTGCTGTGACCAGTGCGTTCTCTTGGCAAAACTCTGTTAGCCTTTGCCCTGCTTCATTCCGTACTCCAAGGCCAAATTTGTCTATTACTCCAGGTATCTCTTGACTTCCTACTTTTGCATTCCAGTTCCCTATGATGGAAAGGAATTCTTTTCTGGGTGTTAGTTAGTTCTGGAAGATCTTGTAGATCTTCATAGAACTGTTCAACTTCAGCTTCTTCAGCATTACTGGTCAGGGTATAGACTTGGATTACTGTGATATTGAATGGTTTGCCTTGGAAACAAACAGATCATTCTGTCATTTCTGAGATTGCACCCAAGTACTGCATTTTGGACTCTCTGGTTGACTATGAGAGCTACTCCATTTCTTCTAAGGGATTCTTGCCCACAGTAGTAGATATAATGGTCATCTGAGTTAAATTCACCCATTCCAGTCCATTTTAGTTCGCTGATTCCTAAAATGTCGATGTTTACTCTTGCCATCTCCTGTTTGACCACTTCCAATTTTCCTTGATTCATGGACCTTGATTCCAGGTTCCTATGCAATATTGTTCTTTATAGCATCACACTTTACTTCCATCACCAGGCACATCCACAACTGGGTCTCTTCATTCTTTCTGGAGGCTTTTCTCCGCTGTTCTCCTATAAGGTCCCAGTGCTCCCCTGTCCCAGCATTGACCACCCTGGGCCATAGTGGCCTTGTGACATCTGTCTACCCTAGCCAGGCTCTGAGCTCCGTGAGAACCAAGGACTATCTTGTCACCGTGGTTCCCCAAGTGCCTGGCAAAGTAAGCTCTCATTAATGCTTGTGGCCTGGGAGAGATGGATGAATGGATGGATGGGTAAATGGGTGAATGTGTGTATGTATGAATGGATAAAAGGATGGATGGGGTGGCATGGGTAGATGAATGGATGGGTAGATGGATAGGTTAATGAATGTATGAATGGGTAGATGAATGCATAGATGGATGGGGTGATGAATGGATGGATGGAAAGGTAGATGGGTAGATGAATGAATGGATGGATGGGTAGATGAATGGATAGATGGATGGGTTGATGACCGGGTGGATGGATAGGTAGATGGGTAGGTGAGTGGATGAATGGATGGGTAGATGATGGGTAGATGAATGAATGGACAATGGATGGATGGATGGAAGGGATAATTTGCCGTTATGTCCTTCTTGTCTGTACCAAGTCATCCCTGCCCACAACCTGGGAAAGGAAACAGTAACTGAATCACATAGGAAAGGGTCCAGGCCAGGTGTGATGGCTGCTTCTGTGTCTTGCCCTGCCGTACGGGCCTCTGGACTGATATGGAGAGCGAGGTCTCCCACCCCGTCTTGGAGCAGCCTCTGACCTCTGGTTTGACCTGGTCAAAACCTGCTGAATCATTTCACCTGCCTCTTCCCTCTGCATACAGGCCACCCACAGCCCAAGGTCACATGGTTCAAAGACGGCCGACCTCTAGCTAGTGGAGACACGCACCACGTTTCTCCAGATGGAGCCTTCCTATGGGTCCTCCAGGCCAACCTGTCTAGCGCAGGCCACTACTCTTGCGTTGCAGCCAGTGCCGTAGGGGAGAAGACCAAGCATTTCCAGCTTAGTGTCCTGGGTAAGCGCCGAACGTCTCCTGGTGACCCTAGGTTCAGCAGAAGGGAGAACCAAGGCGACCAACTCCTTACAGGCAGCTTCCCACAAAGCACTTTACTTTTGTTTCTTCCATGTCAGCAACAACAAAAGTAATAATAGCGGGTATATTGGCTAAACACCTACCACGAGCCAGGCATTTGGACAGGCCTGATTGGTAGAATGGGGGAGGAGGGGCACACCCCGCAGCACGTGGGATCTTAGTTACTCGACTAGGGATCGAAGCCAAAGCCCGTGCACTGGAAGGCAGAGTCCTGAGCACTGGACCACCGGGGAGTCCCGCTGACTATCTGAATCTTTACAGAAACCCTAGGAGGTGGGAGATGTGCTTGTCCCCGCTCACCAATGAAGCTGTGAGGCTTAGAGAGGTGACAAGACTCCAGGCCTCAGGGTGGGGGCTTACACCCAGGGAGTCCTTCTCCCAAGAGCCATCAGCATGAGCTGTCTCATTAGGAGAAATAGGGCTCTAGAGGATTAGACAGATCTGGTTCTCAAAGTGCTGTTGGTAGGACTTCCCAGATGGCTCAGTGGTAAAGAATCCACCTGCAATGCAGGAGACCCGGGTTCGGTCCCTAGGTCAGGAAGATCCCCTGGAGGAGGGCATGGCAACCTACTCCAGTATTGTTGCCTGGAGAATCCCATGGACCGAGGAGCCTGGCAGGCTGCAGTCCATGGGGTCGCAGAGAGTCAGGCATGACTGAAATAACTTAGCACGCACAGCACAAAACTTCCCTAGAGGTCCAGTGGTTAAACATCTGCCAGCCAATGCAAGGGACTCAGGTTCAATCCCTGCTCTTGGAAGATTCCACGTGTTCTGAGGCAACTAGCCCTGTGTGCCACAGCTACTGAGCCCAAGGTCTAGAGCCTGCAAGTTGCAATTACTGGGCTTGCACACCCTAGAGCCCGGGGTCTGCTACAAGAGAAGCCACCACAAAGAGAAGCTTGCATAGCGTAACTAGAGACTAGCCACTGCTCGCCACAGCTAGAGAAAGCCCGCACGCAGCAACAAAGACCCCGGGCAGCCAAAATTAATTAGTAAAAAGTAAAATAAACCACGTGTTGCTAAAAAGGAGGGTCCCCAGCAGGAGCGGAAAGAGAATACTTGGGGACCAATGAAAGCAGAGCTCTTCTACTCAGCAGAAAACAGAACTCCACCCCCACCTCTGCTCAGAGCAGGGTACAAACTGGAACCACACGCAGAAGTGGGAAGACGCTGGTTGAATTAGCAGATGTCTGGATGTTAAGAGGGGCTTCCTAGGTGGAGCAGTGGTAAAGAATCCACCTGCCGATGCAGGAGAGACAGGAGACGGGGTTCTATCCCTGGGTCGGAGAGATCCCCTGGAGGAGGAAATAGCAACCCACTCCAGTGTTCTTGCCTGAGAAATCCCGTGGACAGAGGAGCCTGGCGCGCTGCAGTCCACGGGGTCATAAAGAGTTGGACACAACTGAGCCTGCACACGCATGGATGTTGAGAGCCTACTGGGGAGACAGGCAGACTTGGCCAGCTTCCCCTATGATACTGCTTAGCAAGGGAGAGCCTGGGCTCTGGGCCACCGAGGCCTGAATTGAAGTCTGGCCGCCCAGGGCGTGGTTCCTCTGAGCCTCGTTTCCCATCTGTGTGATGCAAACAACAGCTCCAAAGCCCAGCACCAGGGTCTCAGACTTTCCCGGGTCCTCGGGCTCAGGGTGGGGGATCCCTGTTCAGGAGCACACCCCCTGCCCCACCGCAGTGGTTCCCACCATCCTGGGAGTGACGGAGGACAGCGTGGATGAGGAGGTGACCGTGACCATCAACAACCCCATCTCTCTGATCTGCGAGGCCCTGGCCTTTCCCTCCCCCACCATCACCTGGATGAAGGACGGGGCCCCCTTTGAGGCCTCGGACAACATCCAGCTGCTCCCAGGTGATGCCCTCGAGGGGCTGGGGGGGCAAAGAGGCGGGGAGCAGGTGACATGTCATCAGGCTGGGTCAGAGGCAGGGAACCCGGGGGTGACCCTGGCTGCTGCCCTACCCCAAGCAGGCACCCACGGGCTGCAGATCCTGAATGCCCAGAAGGAAGACGCGGGCCAGTACACCTGTGTGGTCACCAACGAGCTGGGCGAGGCCGTGAAGAACTACCACGTGGAAGTCCTCAGTGAGTTAGGGCCCCTCCAGGGCACCAGCTGAGGGGGGCAGGAGGCTGCCCGTGAAAGCCGGGGCTGCACTGGGCACCCCAGGTGCCTTCACGTGGTTTGTCTCCTCTGATGGTCCCTGGCCAACCAGGCCAGCTCAGTCCATTCAGGGCCTAGAGCTTAGGAGGAGGGAACCAGTGAGTTAGGACAGGGCCATGTGCATGCCTAGACCCACAGCAGTCCTGGCTTCCTTCTGCCACTTGCACTGCAGTGCAATAATAGCGCCCACAGCTGGAGGCCTGGCACCCCCGGAAGGGTCCCCAGAGGTCACCCCAGGAATTCTCCTGCCTCAGACCTGCCCTGTCCCATAACCATCTCTTCCCAGGAGCAGGTGGGCTTCCAGGCTCCCTGTTCCTCTGCTCTGGGGAGCCAGCCCCCAATTTCTGGGATGGGCCTAGGGGCCAGGGGGAGTGTAGGGTCTCAACACCTCTTCTCCTGGCCTGCTCTTCAGACTCCTTTATGGTTTTCAGTTCCCCCTTCCATCTCCAAAGATGACCCCTTGGGGGAGGTCAGCGTGAAGGAAGTGAAGACCAAGGTCAATAGCACTTTGACCCTGGAGTGTGAGTGCTGGGCCGTGCCCCCGCCCACCATCAGCTGGTACAAGGATGGACAGGTAAGCTCAGGAGACCCTGGCAGCCTCAGATTCTCAGTCTGGGTCCCTGTCATCTGCAGAACCTTCCAGAAAAGGCAGTCATAGCAGCAGGCCCCAGAGCTGTCCTGGGCCCTGCCCCGTCCTTTATATTTTAATAAGAAGTTCAACTCTTTACAGAAAACAAGTCCCATAAACGTGAAACCCTATATTCACTCACTGAATCAGTTCTGTGAGTCTGATGTTACAGAATTGTCAGGGTGCTCTGACCACTTTATGTGGTGTTTTAAAAATCGTGTGAAAATGTAAGTACACTCATCTGGGTGCTTTCTACCCCTCAGTCCTGACCTCCATCCCCCCTCTTTCCACCTCCAGCCCGTGACCCCTAACCTGCGTGTCCGCATCCTTGGCGAAGGACGGCTGCTCCAGATCCAGCCTACGCAGGTCTCAGATTCCGGGCGATACCTGTGCGTGGCCACCAACGTGGCAGGCGAGGATGACCAGGACTTCAACGTGCTCATCCAGGGTGAGTGGGGCCACGGGGCGGAGGTCAGTGGGACTTGGGGGGTGTCAGTGCTTCTGGGGAGGTCTGGCAGGAGGGCTCTGTTCTCATCGCTGTCTGCACGTCTGGCCCCCCTGAACCCTGGCCTGGGCTCTTTCATGAACTGACCTGGGGACCAGGACATCACTGCCCCCCAGGCCTTAGTTTTACCTTTGTAAAATATGGGTGATCAGGGAACGTTCCTGACGGTCCAGTGGTTAAGACTTCCCCTTCCAATGCAGCAGGTGTGGGTTCCTGGTCCGAGAACTCAGATCCCACAGGCCTCCTGGCCAAAAAAAAACAAAGCATAAAACAGAAGCAATATTGTAACAGATTCAGCAAAGACTTTTTAAAAATGTTCTGCATTAGAAAAAAAAAATCTTTTAAAAAAATAGCTGATAATAAAGAAAAAAAGACCATTAAAAAACAAAAACAAAAACTGCTTTGATGGAAGGGATTGGCTCCAATGGTGGGATATCCCTGCCCCGGGGGAGGCTGGAACGGGAATCTCTGAGCAGAGCTTCATGCCCATCTCTCAATGGTGTGTCCTGACGGCTTTGTCCCCCGCTCCCCAGTACCCCCCATGTTCCAGAAGGTGAGCGATGCCACTGCAGACTTTGAGACCCCATTCCGGGAGGAAGAGGCCCGGGGTGGGGTGACGGAATACCGGGAGGTCGTGGAGAACAACCCCGCCTACCTGTACTGCGACACCAATGCGGTGCCAGCCCCGGAGCTCACCTGGTTCAGGGAGGACCACCCCCTCTCCATCGAGGACGGGGTGTCTATTCTGCAAGGTAGGCCGGGGCTGCATGGAAGTGCTGGCCCTTTATAGGCAGGCACCAGGGTCACTCCCACACCAGAGCTGGCCTCCTCTCCTTTCGGTGCAGCCTGAGGTCTCCTGCCTGCTGCTTGCTGTCTGACCCCGGCAGGGCATCTGACCACTCTGGACCTCAGCCGCCTTTCATGAACTGGGGCTAGAAGTCCTTAACTAGTTTGAAGGCGAGAACAGGATCCCTTTCTGCCTCTGGTTAGAACAGAGGTCCTCATCTGCACCACACCCACCTCTGGGCTTCGAGATCTGTGATGTCCTGGCCCCTTTTTCCGGGGGGAGGGGGCAGTTCCTTTATTAAGACCCCAAATGTTGAAGAAGCTCTCATGGGGCTCTGATGCCCACCCAGGATCCAAGATCATGGCTCATGTGACCTTAAAAAAAAATTATTTATTTTTAATTGGAGGACAGTTGCTTCACAACATTGTGTTGGTTTCCGCCATATGCCAACACGAATCAGCCGTAAGCATACGTATGTCCCCCCCTCTTGAGTCTCCCTCCCACCTCCCACCCCTTTAGGTTGTCCTGTGACCTTCTTATGTCTTTTTCCTGCTTTACATATTTGTTTATTTAAAGTTGGGCTTCCCTGATAGCTCAGTTGGTAAAGAATCTTTTAAAGTTATTTGCTTTTTTGTTAAGAACATAAACACTTTTTCTTTTTTTAATATTTAAAAATTTTTTAATTTTTGCAGTGTTGTACTGGTTTCTGCCATGCAAAACGCGAATCAGCCACAATCATACCATACGGCCCTCCCTCCCAGGCCTCCTCCCCTCCCCCGCTGCATCCCTCCAGGTCTCACCCGGCACCAGGCTGGGCTCCCTGTGCTACACAGCAACTTCTCACCAGCTGTCCATCTCGTGGATATTTTGTATTTATGCTGATGCTCCTTTCTCCATTTGTCCCACTCTCTGCCTCCCCCACTGTGTCCACAAGTCCATTCTCTACAACTGTGTCCCCATTCCTTCCCCACAAATGGGTTCATAAGTATCATTTTTCTAGATCCCATATATATGCATTAATATTCCATATTTGTCCTTCTCTTTCTGACTTACTTCACTATGTATATAACAAGCTCTAGGTTCATTCACCCCGCTAGAACTGACTCAAATCCCTTCTTTTTTATGGCTGAGTAATTTCCCATTGTGTTTATGTACCACATGTTTTTTATTCACTCATCAGTTGATGGGCATCTAAGTTGCTTCCATGTCCTGCCTAAACAACTGCTTTATCTTAGAATAGTTTTTTACGGATGGCTTTGAATTAAAGGGCTCTGGGGATGGCGCTTAGAAAGGCCTGGCTTCCCTGGCGGGGCCCAGGGCTGGGAGGAGTCCCAGACACAGAGCCCTGATGGGGGGGTTGCCTGGCTTGCGGTCACACGGTGCCTTGCCAAGCGTGGGTCCGTGGTGACGGCAGTGGTAGAGGGAAGGATGAGGTGGGCTGTAGAATGAAGAGCGTCATGCCAGGGTTTGGACTTTGGTACCTGTGAAAGAAGGCGACCCCTTGGAGATCTGGGAGAGGCAGTGCTTACAGAGAGATGTTATTGACCCTTTAACTTGGCCACTGCCCTCTGACTTGGGGACACAGAGAGCTCAGTCACATGCTGACCCCCCAGTGCCACCATTGGCCTCTGACCCTGGCCACAGAGCCCCCAATCCTGGGCACACAGTGGTCATAGTCACCGCTGACCTTAATTCTGGCCCTGATCATAGATTAATCTCACACATTAAGTGACCTCTCCCTTGACCATGGCCACGGCCTCCCCAGCCCAGGCTACCACCCCTTGGCTCTGCATATAATGAGCCCCTGGTTCTAACCCTGCTCACAGCCCATCACATCCTGGGTCGGCCACCCCGCAACCCAGGATCCTGAGCACACAGTGACCTGAACCCCGCTCCTGCTAGACACCAGTTCCAGCTCCCTCGATGCCAGAGTCTGGTCCTGGCTGGCCCTCGATCACAGAGGGTCCCAGGTGGCGCCCCTCAAGAGCCCCCACCTCCACCCACCGCAGCCTCCTGAGAGCCTCTGCACAGGCTTGTGCCCAGCTCCCTGCCTTCACCAAGGGGCTGGGCTCAGCCCTGCCAGGCACTCTTGGGAAGCCTCAGCCTTTCCATCTGTAGGACGGGAGTAGTGACAGCACACAGTCGGAGGCCGGGACGTGCTCAGCCCGGGGCCTGGTGCAGAGCAAGCCGTTACCGCTTTAACTGACCCTCTCGACCGTGGCCCCTGGCACAGCCGGTCCTCCTCTGCATGTCACAGGTGAAGGCGGGGAGCGGGGCGGTGATGTGTGCCGGGCCCCCTGCAGGGGGAAGAGCTGGTTTCTCGGTTCTCGCTGAGACCTCTGTCTGCCCCCATGTCCCTGCAGGAGGCCGGGTCCTGCAGATCCCCCTGGTGCGGGCGGAGGATGCGGGAAGGTACTCTTGCAGAGCCTCCAACGAGGCGGGTGAGGACTGGCTACACTACGAGCTGCTGGTGCTGAGTGAGTGGCCCAGCCTGGGGGCGGGAGGCAGGGAGCGGGCTCAAGTCTAAGGCCCCGTGAGGGCCCCCCAGAAGGGGGCCAAGTAGAGAGCAGCAGTAGTCCTGCCGTTCTCCAAAGCGGATGGCACAGGGCTTGCAAGCGCGGACCCTGAAGCCAAACCGGACTGGGCTCAGATTCCAAGTGAGCTGCTTCCTGGGGCTTCCCTGGTGGCTCAGATGGTGGAGAGTCCACCCACAAGGCAGGAGACATGGGCTCTGTCCTCTGGTCGGGAAGATCCCCCGGAGAAGGGAATGGCTACCTACTCCAGCGTTCTTGCCTGGAGAACCCCAGGGACAGGGAGCCTGGTGGGCTTACGGTCCATGGGATTGCGAGCTGGACACGGCTGGTGACTCAGCACACGTGAGCTGCTTGCTAGCGGTGTGACCCTGAGCGAATCACAGCCCTCTCTGCGGCCTGCGTTCCTTAGCCATCTCAGGGCTCGGAAGGGCTTGGTGGGCAGGGTTCAAGGAGCCCCAGCCAGCACCTGGCACCAAGAGCTCTCGTCTCCACACCCCGCTCCTCCTGGGGCCTTTCCCAAGGGGGCTGCCCGCTCCTCACCCTCTTCTCCCCGCCCCCAGCCCCACCCGTGATCCTGGGTGAAACGGAGGAGCTTGTAGAGGAGGTGACCGTCAATGCCAACAGCACCGTCAGCCTGTATTGCCCAGCCCTGGGCAACCCTGCGCCCACCATCTCGTGGCTCCAGAATGGGCTGCCTTTCTCCCCAAGCCCACGGCTGCAGGTCCTGGAAGACGGGCGAATCTTACAGGTCAGGGTGACCCCCTAACCCCTGCTCAGGCTAAAGGCAGCGGCTGACTTCCCTGGTGGTCCAGTGGTTAAGATTCTGCCTTCCTTCCAACAAAGGGCTTGGGTTCAATCCTTAGTTGGGGAGCAGAACGAAGATCTCCCATGCTGCAGGGTGTGGCCAAAAATACTTTAAATTTAAAAAACTTATTTAAAAACAAAAGCAAAAAAGACTCTGCATTTCCAGTGCTTCCACTGCAAGGGGCCATGGGTTCGATCCTTGGTTGGAGAACTAGGATCTCACATGCCCTGTGGCATAATCAAGAAATAAATAAATAAAAGTAGCTGCTACAGTGACTCAGTTCTGTTTGTCTGGGGACCAACGAACTGCTATCATCTGAAGCTCTTTGCTTGGAACTGTGTTGGAACCCCTGGGATTTAATTCAGAGTTTAATTAATTATCCTGGATCGGGAAGATCCCCTGGAGAAGGGATCGGCTACCCACTCCAGTATTCTTGGGCTTCCCCTGTGGCTCAGCTGATAAAGAATCTGCCTGCAATGCGGGAGACCTGGGTTCAATCTCTGGGTTGGGAAGATCCCTTGGAGAAGGGATCGGCTGCCCACTCCAGTATTTTTGGGCTTCCCCTGTGGCTCAGCTGGTAAAGAATCTGCTTGCAATGCAGAAGACCTGGGTTCAATCTCTGGGTTGGGAAGATCCTCTGGAGAAGAGAAAGACTACCCACTCCAGTATTCTGGCCTGGAGAATTCCGTGGACTGTATAGCCCATGGGGTCGCAAAGAGTCAGAGATGACTAAGTGACTTACACTTTCACTTTCTTTCGCTTTTACTTAATTATTTAATTCACCAAAGAACTGTATGTGAGGAGCCTTGGAGGGCTGCTCGCAGCCCCTGGAAAGGAGCAGAGGCTGGCATGCCTGGAGCCAGCATGGCACAGAGCAGCCTTCCTTAGGAAGGCCGTCGGATGCCCACAGAGCCGTGCGGGCACCTGGGACCTCAGGCAGCACCTCGGGCCCCCAGCATCCAGACACCCCTACAGGGACCCCTGGAGCCCAGCGCAGCACAGAGCACCCTCCTCGGGGCTGGGGGAGGGGGCCGTGGTCACCACCCAGTTTGCTACAGGGACTCATCTGTCAGCCCCACACCCCCCAATGTCACAGAAAGCCCTAGGTGGACGTGGGGTGGCCTCCCTAAGCATTGCTCCATGTAGACAAAGGTGGTCTTCTGAGGGGGCTCCGCCTGGTGCCTGCCGTACCTGGGATGGGTGGGAGGGAGCCCTCGCAGTTCCTGGGGGGCCCAGAGCCATCAGGCTGGCGACATGCACCCCCAGGTTTCCACGGCAGAAGTGGCTGACGCTGCCAGCTACATGTGTGTGGCCGACAACCCGGCAGGCTCCGCAGAGAAGCTCTTCACACTCAGGGTGCAAGGTGAGCCAGGCGAGCGGGCAGCCCCCGCGGGTTCCCCAGCTGAGCAGGGGCTGGTCCTCTGAGTCGGCCGTGGAGCGTTCCATGGGCTCACCAGGCAGGCAGGCAGAGCGCCGCGATCTTTCCAGCATCCTGGGCTTTCGGCCTGTGCCAGCCTTACCCCAGAACAGAGAGCTCTGGGGGACCCTGAACACTAGAAACCATCTTAAGCAACCTTAGAGGTTCTCAGAAGAATGGCTCTTTCGAGGCCTTTCCAGCACCATGATTGATCATTTACTCTGAGAGCACTTACTTTCCTGGGCTCAAAGCCAAGAGGTGGGTCCCATTTTAGGGCCGTGGAAACAGGCTCAGAAATGTTACTCAGTGGGGGTCTCCCCGCCCCGGAGTCAGCCCTCTCAACCTCTGCGTTCCTGTGACATGTGCATCTTGGGGCTGAGAGCTCTGGCTCCAGACATGGGGCAACTGTGGCCTCAAGGGCAGAGGGATGCCAGTGTTGGGCACTCAAGGTCTAGACTCATGCCTGATCTGAATGGATATTCTGGCCCTGCCACTGAGCAGCTGAGTGACCTGGGAAAAATGATGCTCCCTCTCTGATCTCTGAGCCCCACGTTCTCCTCTACAAGATGAGGAAGATGGACAGGAGCTGGTTTGAAGTGCCAGGAGCCCCGGACGGCCCCACGCATCACCATATGGCCATCGGCTCCCTGCCGGTCTTCATTGTCACGTCTTTCTTTATTTCTGTTGCCCCGCGGGGACAGTCCCACCACGTATCGCAGGTCCGAACCCGGAGCAGATCACCGCCACCATCAACAGCAGCGTCTCCTTGCCCTGCGAAGTCCGTGCTCACCCCAGCCCCGAGGTCACGTGGTACAAGGACAGCCGGACCCTCTCCCTGGGAGAAGAGGCCTTTCTCCTGCCTGGTGGGTAAACTGAGGCTGGAGGCTCGGCTTGGAGGCTCTGTGGGGAGGCCGAGTAGCCTCCCCAAACCTGGGGCAGAACTGGGGGTCTGGCAGGGCTTTAGGATTGTGGCGTGGGGTCTGGGGATTGGGGCCTGTTCACTGGTGCCAAGCGCTGGCTCGCCACCGTCCTCCCACCACCACCCCCGGCAGGCACCCACACCCTGCAGCTGGCTCGAGCTCAGCTATCGGACTCTGGGATGTACACGTGTGAGGCCCTCAACGCCGCTGGCCGAGACCAGAAGCTGGTGCAGCTCAGCGTGCTGGGTACATGCCGTCTGTCCCCCCACTGCACTGACCCCCACTCCTTCCACCAGCCCTCACACCCCTCCATCAGCACAGTCAGGAGAGGGGCAGCCGGCCCTGGGGGAGCCTGGGACACACTGTGAGGTCTGCCGCAGTGGTGTCTAGGGGCACCGTGGGGTTAGGTTCCTGGTTATTAGACTTGGACGCCCTTGGGTTTGAAATTCAGCGGTGCGCTCCCTTGCTCTGTGACCTTGGGCAAGTCACTCTCCCTCTCTGAGCCCTGAGTCTCCCATCACTATAAGGTGATGGTTGGTTTAGGATTAGATGGTGGTATGTGAGCATTTAGCCCAGCGCCAGGGCTTCTTCCCTGGTGGCTCACTGGTAAAGAATCCGCCTGCCAATGCAGGGTTCAGTCCCTGGGTTGGAAAGATTCCCTGGAGGAGGAAACAGAGCCCCACTCCAGTACTCTTGCCTGGGAGATCCCGTGGCCAGAGGAGGCTGGGGGGCCACGGTCCATGGGGTCGCAAGAGTCAGAGTCGACTGAAGTGACTCAGCACACATGTACCCCAACCGGGAGGCTGAGCCCAGAGAGGGCAGGAGGCACTTCCCAGGTCACCCAGCAGGTCCTCGGCGTGCTGGCCTGGATTCTCTTAGTCCAGCCCCCTGAGTCAGTACCGTCCCCTGGGATGGGGTCTGCTGTGTGACCCTTTCTCTCCATAGGCGGTTAACCTGCGAGGGGGGTTGGGGCGGACAGGGGAAGGCCTTGGCCCCTCACTCGGCTCGTCTCCTGCCCCAGTTCCCCCCACCTTCCGGCAGGCGCCCAGCAGACCCCAGGATGCGGTCCTGGTGAGTGCGGGGGACAAGGCTGTCCTGAGCTGCGAGACAGACGCGCTCCCCGAGCCGACTGTGGCCTGGCAGAAGGACGGGCAGCCCCTGGTCCTGGCAGAGAGAATCCAAGCTCTGCTGGGTGGGCAGAGGCTGGAGATCCAGGACGCCCAGGTGAGCTGTCTGGTGGTGCCGGCAGCCCCGGGCAGCCCTGGGGCTGTCACCTCCTGGTGTACCAGGGGGAGGCGGGCATCTGGGTGGCAGGATGTGGGGCCTGTTTCCTCCTCAGCCCAAAGAACCCCAGTCCAAGGTGACTAGCAGCCTCGGGGGCGGGAGATGCCGAAAGAGCACCAGATCCCAGGCCCGGCTCCACACTGGCCCTCAGAATGTCTTTGAGCAGATCCGGGCCCTGCCACCTGCCTGTTTCCCCAGGATCCATAAGCCTCTCCAGGCCCCTCTGGTTATGACTCCTGGGGAGTCGGTTCTACCTGCCCACCCCCCTCCCTGGTGTGGATTAGATACGCACAAGTGTTCACTGGGTGATTATTTGCTGTTCCTCTGGAACTGTACCCAGGGCTCCCCTCTCCGGGTTCAGCTCCATCCCCACCGTGAAGGAACCTTCTCCCCCTGGCTCAGCTGACACGAAGACCCAGGGGAGGGTGAGGCCTGGGTCCTCTGCACCCACCGTCTCTCATCCCTCCTGAATCTCTAGTATTTGGGAAAGGCCAGAAGGTCCCATCTCCCCCTTGGATCTCCCAGGCATGACCAGTATACTCGAGGAGTCCTGCTCTGGAAGGTTCTGGGGCCTGGAGGTTTGGGGGGAGCTCACCCCCACCACATCCACACTGACATCACGTGCTCTGTCTGTCCCAGGTGTCGGATAAAGGTTTATACAGCTGTAGAGTCAGCAATGCGGCCGGGGAGGCCATGCGGGCCTTCAGCCTCACGGTCCAGGGTAAGCTGGGGACCCGCCTCCAAACACCACTTTGGGACCCCCCAAACACCACATGGGGCTACCACAGATGGGAAGGGCAGTGGCTGAAAAGGGACGCGTGTTGCTGAGTGTTTAGGGCACAAGATCTGGAATTGAAAAGATCAGGCACAAGATCAGGATCCGAATAGGACTCCACTGATGACTTGCTCTGAGTGACCTTGTCCCTTTGAGCCTCAGATTTACCTGCAGTAAAAGGAGCCAAAAATAGGACCTGCCTGTTAGGCATGCAGAAAGCGTTCCATCTATGGTCTGCCATGACTGTGTCTAGAAATGGCCGGGCACAGGGCCCAGGATGGGAGCACTGGGACAGAGCCCTAAGAGATCAGACCCTCGGAGTCCTGGGACCATGTCATCCCCACCTGAGTCCTGAGACACCTGTCCTAGCAGCCCAAGATGAAGTATAGATGGGCATTTCACTGGGTGTGGCTCAAGCTGGGGGTGAAGGGAGAGCTTGTCGGAACTGCCTAGGGAAGCAAAGGATGAAGGCTTGGTCAGATTTTCTTGTGGTCAGATGTTGTGTCAGTTAGGGAATAGACTCAGCTGTGTAACAAAAAGACTCCAAAATATAGTGCATCAAGGAAGAGAGAAGTTTACCTCTGTCATCCAAAAGCCTAGAAGTGAGCATCTGGGCTGGAGGATAGCTCTGGACTTACCAAATGCTAATTTAGGGACCAAGATCCTTCCATCCTATTAATCTCCCATTCCCCGGGGGTTGTCCCTGTCTGCATTGCATCTTTGGGCTTTCTCAGGTGGCACTAGGGGTAAAGAAACTGCCTGCCAATGCAGGAGACAGAAGAGACTCAGGTTCGATCCCTGAGTCAGAAAGATCCCCTGGAGGAGATGGCAATCCACTCCAGTATTCTTACTTGGAGAATCCCATGGACAGAGGAATCTGGCGGGTTACAGTCCATGGGCTCTCAGAGTCAGACATGACTGAAGTGATTCAGCATACACATGTTGCATTGTACCCCAGCCCATGAAGCAGAAATGAGTAGACATAGAGAACTTGAGCTGGCCACAGTGGGCTGCAAAGAAGACTGGGAAATGTAGTTTCTACCCGACTGACCCTGTGTGAGATGGGAAGGACAGGTAGGGAGACACCAGCTATCTGCTGCAGATGCCAAAGCCTGCAGCTTCCCCAGCACTGGGACAGTGGATGGATCCAACCTTGACCATACTAAATACCGGTGTTGAAAATTATTGATACCAGATCTGCTGCTCTAAGCTCATAGCTCCTTCACCTGATGGCCACCTTGATGAACAGGGGGAGGGTGGAATTCCGGTCCTTGAGAGAGCTGTTTCATCCTAAGCACAGCCATCTGTGTTCCACTGGCAGTGGCTGCCTGTGGTGCATAACTTCATGCTGGCTGAGCAGGAGAGAGTGTTGGGATCAGTTAGTGATGTCTGCCCTGGCATAGGTTAACACCTGCTGGTGCAATAGTCACGTATTTACCATCCTTCGGCTAAGTGGTCCCCTCTGGGCTCTGCTTTGTAAATGTTTTGAAATAGCCAGCTGCTGATCGTATTTATGTTTGTGGATAAAACAACTCATATCCGCATCAATGGCAAAACATAAAATGTCAGCTCCTAACCACAGGGAAGTGCTTCTCAGGCATCCCTGATCGGTCTGAGAGGAAGGAAGTAGGGGGCAGAGTCATAGGATTCTGGGAATCTGGCTTCTCTCCTGCAGTGCCCCCAACGTTTGAGAACCCAGAGACGGAGACTGTGAGCCAGGTGGCCGGGAGCACCCTGGTCCTGAGCTGTGATGTGACCGGGGTCCCTGCACCTACTGTTACTTGGCTGAAGGACAGGATGCCTGTCGGTGAGTCCCTCAGTCCTTATCATTTTGCTGCCAAGTATTTCTTCATTTGGGACTCTCCTGGTACCTCAGCGGTAAAGAAACTGCCTGCCAATGCAGGAGACACAGGTTAGATCCTTGGGTCAGGAAGATCCCCTGGAGAAGGAAATGGCAACCCACTCCAGTATTCTTGCCTGGGAAATCCCATGGACAGAGGAGCCTGGCGGGCTACAGTCCATGGGGTCACAAAAGAGTCAGGCATAGCTTAGCGACTAAAACAACAACAACTTTCTTTCTTTAATGAAATGGCAATGAAAGCAGAAGGGGATAGTTGGGTTTGTAACAACTTGCTTGCCGAAATCAAAAGCTGGCATTGATTTTGGCAATCAAGAGCTTGTTGATCCATTCCCCTATTTGTCTCTCAACCCTGTTGGCCTTGAAATCCCAACATTGAGGACCATTCACATGGGGGCTTGGCAGCTCCTGTGTTTGTGTCCACAGGACAGAGACACAGAGTGGGTGCTGAGGGTACAGCTGGCCTGACCCTGGGCTCCAGGTTGGCCCCCAAAGCAGCTCCTCCTCCAGCACCTCAGCTCTGTCCAGCCCTACCGTTGGTCACCCCCATCCAGGCCTCCATCCTTAAGCCCGACTCTTACTCTCCCCCAACCCGCCCGCCCATCAGCCAGTAGGTGCCTCGTCTTGTCTCTGTAAACACGTCTGAGGTCAGCCCTGCTCTCCACCCACAGCCTTTCCCATCTCAGCCCCCACGGTCCACACCCCTGGGTGAGGGCACAGCCCCTACACTCGTCTCCTGGGCCCCGTCCAGGCCTCAGTGCAGATTCCCCTGGGGCAGAAGGGATGGCAAAGGGCAGGTCTGGGCGCATCAGTTATCTGTTGAAAATCCTTCCGTGGCTGGAGTCCTCAGGACCACAGCCCAGGAGGCCCTTCGGGGCCAGGGCCCAATGGCCGGGGCCAGCCCCCCTCCATCCTGCTCCGTACTCCAGACAGACCCAGCTGCTCTCAGCTCCTTGCATACGCCTGTGTCGGTCTGTCTCTCTCCATAACAGCTTTACTGAGATACAGTTCACATACTGTACAGTTTGCCCAATTAAAATGTATAATTCAATTGTTTTTTGTGCATTCACAGAGCATACACACAATCAATTTTGAAACCTCTTTTTACTGTGTATTTTATTTTTCCTAGTTTATTGTAGTAGAGTTGTATAGTTAATTTACAGTGTTGCGTTAATTTCTGCTGTATGGCAAAGTGATTCAGTTATATACATATATATATATATATATATATATACACACACACACACACATATGCGTGTGTGTGTGTGCGTGTGTACATATATATAGGCTTCCCAGGTGGCTCAGTGGTAAAGAACCTTAAAGAATCTGCCTGTCATTGCAGGAGATGTGAGTTTGATCCCTAGGTGGGGAAGATCCCCTGGAGAAGGAAATGGCAGCCCCCTCCAGTATTCTCACCTGGAGAGTCCCATGGACAGAGGAGCCTGGCCGGCTACTGTCCATGGGGTGCAGAGTTGAACACAACTGAACATGCATGCATACCTATATATATATATACATATATATATTCTTTTTTATATTCTTTTCCACTGTGGTTTATCACAGGATATTGAACAGTTCCCTGTGCCATACAGTAGGACCTTGTTGTTTATAATTTTAGAACAAGTTTATCACCCAAAGGAAATCCCTTACCCATTACCTTCACTCGTAGCCACTCTAGCCTTAGGCAGCCCCTAACCTACTTTGTCTTTATAAACTTGCCTGTTCTGGACACTTCATGTAACATGTGGAATCACACAACACGTGGCCTCTTGTTCCATTTAGCACCATGTTTTCAAGGTTCATCCATGTTGTAGCATGTGTCAGTTCTTCATTAAGTTTATTTTTTCATTCATTTTTGTGGTTGAACGTTCCACTGTGTGGCTCTATCATGTTCTGTTTATCCATCTGCCAGTCGATGGACATTTGTGTTGTTTCCACCTTTGGCTGTGAGAGATAACATGCGTGAGTGTTCTTGTACAAGTGTGCGGCATGCGCTTTCCTTCCTCTGATATATGCCTGGTAGTGGAGTTGCTCTGGGCTGTCTTCTCTCTGGCCTTCAGCTCCTGGCATGTGCTGTTTCCCTCCTGAAACACCCACCCTGGGCTCCCTGAACCACCTCCACTTTCACCTGGCTGATTCAGACCCGCTTTCAAGTCTCAGCTGAGGCTCACCTCCTCCAGAGGCCTGGCCTCGTCTCCCCAGGCTCCATCAGGGCCCCACCGGGCCGGGCACACGGGCCTGTGCCTGTGTCACTGTCTCTGATGCATTTTGAACTCTTTGAGGACGAGGACCACATTTCACGCGTCTTCGATTCCTGAGCTCGCTGTTGGATTTGTAGTGGTTGCTCAATACATTTTGTGTTGAAGGGCTGGCTGGACAGATGAGGATCTGAGGGTAGGGCAGACCAGCCTGGACTGGTGCAGTTAGAGAAGGCTTTGGGGCAGAGGTGCCGCTGGAGAGCACGATGGAGGTGGGGTGGGGGGGGAGCATTCCAGGTGGGGGTGGGCGTGCAGCCTGAGCAGAGCCTCAGAGGAGCCCCTCACTTGACTCACATCAAAGGTCAGTGAGTTCTGGTTTGCTGTGATCCAGGAGGCCGGAGGGAAAGATCGGAAGGGAGGTGGGAGATGAGCTGGGCCTGAAAGTCAACAGGAAGAGGAGCAAGTCGTAGACAATAAAAGGAGTGGGATCCCGTGGGGAGAAATGTCCCCAGTGGAAGGGTGTATGGAGGGGCTGGTTATACGGACTGAAGCAATCAAAGGTGCCCAGGCTGGGGAAGGCTGTGATGTGTCTGGGCCTCAGTTTCCCTATGAGTGCAAGAAAGGGGTGGGTAATTCAAGGGTTCCCGGGGTCTTTCCAGCCTTGTGAGTGGGGATTAACCACCCTCCCGGGGAGTCACGTGATTTTTGTGCCTGGGCCCAATATTGGCACCGGGGGTGATGGGTCCGAGCAGATGACGCCCAGGCCTGCCCCTCCTTCCAGCAGAGAGCAGCGTGGCACATGGTGTGGTCTCCCGGGGGGGCCGCCTCCAGCTGAGTCACCTGCAGCCGGACCAGGCTGGTACCTACACGTGTGTGGCCGAGAACGCCCAGGCTGAGGCCCGCAAGGACTTCGTGGTGGCCGTGCTGGGTACGTCCGCACCCTGAGCCCCTCCCGTGTCCCACTCCCCACACACCAGCCCCAGCCTCTGCCCCAGGGCCTCACCTCAGCCCCTACCACAGTGGCCCCCCGGATCTGGAGCTCAGGCACCACTCAGGTGCACAGCGTCCTGGAGGGGCAGGATGTGTGGCTGGACTGCGAGGCCTATGGGCAGCCCCTGCCGGACGTGGTCTGGCTGAAGGACGGCCGCCCGCTGGACCTCAGCCTGGACCCCCACCCCCGGTAAGGCCCGGCCGGCACCCTCCCCGTCCCAGGCGGCGGGCCTGCGTATCCTCACACGCCTGCCTCCCGGCTCTCTCTCCCCTTGACAGGTTCTACCTGGACGACAGCTCCCTGGTGCTAAAGGGCCTGAGGGCCTCGGACTCGGGTGCCTACACCTGCGTGGCCCACAACGCAGCCGGCGAGGATGCCAGGCTCCACACCGTCAACGTGCTGGGTGAGCAGCCGAGGGCAAGGAGAGGCAGGCAGTCCGGCCGTCCCAGGACGGCAGCGGCCAAGCCAACACGGGGCCTCCACTGGGTTATCTGGAGGGTGCAGACAGGGCCCTGATGGGGGGACCTGTGAGCCCCCATCCACGCCCCCTCTGTGAGCCAGGCCCGTCTGGCCTCTCTGGCCCTCTGCCTCATCCTCAGGCCGGGGCACAACTGCTCCAGGGGTACAGCAAGCAAGTCGGGGGATAAAGGAGAGACCCACAGGGCGAGGCCACACCCCCACGCCACGGTCATCATCCTCACCGGGGGTGGATGTGGATCCGAGAACCACATGGCGATTGCCACTTGATGATTGCTAGATATCAGTGCCATCTCCTGGGGCCTCCCTGGGGGGAGCCCACCCCCCCTCCCCTGACCCCCTCGCTCTTGTTCAGTCGCTCATTCATGTCTGACTCTTTGCGACCCCATGGACTGCAGCACGCCAGGCTTCCCTGTCCTTCACCATCTCCCAGAGTTTGGGCAAACTCGTTGTCCATTGAGTCTGTGATGCCATCCAACCATCTCATCCTCTGTCATCCCCTTCTCCTCTTGTCTAATCATTCCCAGCCTGAGGGTCTTTCCCAGTGAGTCAGCTCTTTGAATCAGGTGGCCAAAGCATTGGGGCTTCGGCATCAGTCCTTCCAATGAATATTCAGGACTGATTTCCTTTAGGATGGACTGGTTTGATCTCCTTGCAGTCCAAGGGACTCTCAGGAGTCTCCTTTAGCACCACAGTTTGAAAGTCTCTGGCACTCAGACTTCTTTATGGTCCAGCTCTCTGACCCCATCACTGCTCCTTCTCTCCTCTCTGCCTGCCCACCAGTGCCTCCCACCATAGAGCAGGGGCCAGAGGGTGCAGGGACTCTGGTGCACAGGCTTGGCGATCTGGTGAGCATGGCGTGCCCTGTCCGGGGCTCCCCGCCTATCCACGTGAGCTGGCTCAAGGACGGCCTGCCCCTTCCACTCTCCCACCGCACCTACCTCCACAGCTCCGGCCGCACCCTCCGGTAAGGTGGTAGTTCCCCAACCCCCCAACCAGGACCCCAGAAATCCTCCTCAAGCAGCTTGCTTAAAAACACAACTGAATGGCTTTTAAACTGAAAATAATATAAACATATAGAAGTTTTTGACGAGGGGAATGAGAGGACCCAAATGGAACTCCAGAAATGAAAGTGGCCTCTGCCCTCAGGTTTTCATAGCCCAGTAGGGGAGGCACAGATCCGGGTGGTGACATCCGGTTGCACCTAAGTCAGCCTAGCCCTGGTGGGAGAAATTAGGGAAGGCTTCCTGGAAGAAGGTGCCTGAGCAAAGTCTTCACACATTCAGCAGCACTTCGGAGTGCTTGTTCCAGGTGCAGTTCTAGGCATTGGGGTGGAGCAGTGATCAAGACCAAGTCTCTGCTCCGGCAGTTGTGGGGATGGGAAATAGACAAGTATAAAAGTGACATGTCGCAAGAGATGTGTGCTCGGGTGAAGGGATAGGAAGTGGCCATGGAGGGCACAATTTTAGGGTGGCCGGCGGCAGGCACTCAGAGGAGATGATACTTGAGCAGATGTGGAGCGAGATAAGAAGGGGAGGTGAGTGGATTCCATGGGAAAGAGCTCCCAGGCAGGAAGAACAGGTGCAAAGGCCCTGAGGCGGGCATGTGGCTGTGCGTTCTAGGAACAGAACTGGAGGGTTAATGAAGGGGAGGTCAGCCAGGCAACACAGGGCTTTGTAGGTGCTTCAAAAGACTTGGGTTTTCCTAAGGAGAGCAGGGGAGTCCTGAGAGACTTTTCAGCAGAGAAGCCTCATGATGTGGCTCGACTTTTGTGTCTGTAGTAGTAGAATATACATAATAGAAAATCTACCATTTTTAGGTACACTGTTCAGTGGCATTAAGGACAGTCACACTGGTGGGCAGCCATCACCATCCTCCTTCTCCAGACCTTTGCATCTTCCCAAAGTTCTGCTCTGACCCATTAAACACCAATTCCCCGACCCCTCCCCTTCTCCTGGCGCCCAGCATCGTACTTTCTGTCTGTATGAATTTGCCTTATTCCAAGTCCCTCATGTAAGTGGCATCATGCAGTAGTTGTCCTCTGTGACAGGTTTATTTCACTTGGCATCATGTTTTCAAGATTTGCGCATGTTGCTGTTTAGTCGCTAAGTCATATCCTACTCTTTTTGCGACCCTGTGGAGCCTGCCAGGCTCCTCTGTCCATGGGGATTTCCCAGGCAAGGATACTGGAGTGGGTTGCCATTTCCTCCTCCAGGGGATCTTCACGACCCAGGGATCATCCATGCTGTAGCTTGTGTCAAACTTTCCACCCTAATATTTAAGGCCAAATAATATCACGTGGTGTGTGTAAAACACATTTCCTTTATCCATCCACTCACTCGTCAGTGGACACTTGGATTGCATCCACGTTTCAGCAGCTGTGTGAATAATGCTGAAAAATGTGAATAGTGCTGAAAAATGTGAATATGCTGCTGTGGACATCCTAGTGCACGTATCCACTTGAGTCTCTACTTTCACTTCTTTGGGTTGTGACTTAGGCTGCAGTGTGGACAGCAGACTGTACTGTAGGCAGACTGTAGGGCTGAGGGCTCAGTAGGAGGGTGTTCTGGGGCTTCGGTCATAATCCAGGTGAAACACGGTGGGGGAGCCTGGGTCAGAGCCACGTGACGGGGGTGATGGCGGTGGTCCAGCTGGTGGCGGCATCGTGGAGAGAGGAGAGATGGTGGGAGGAGGTGAGCAGGGCTCTGGGGTCTTTATCCGGGAACTTGGAAGGCTGAGTTCCCATTTTCTGAGACGGGTCCACAGTGCGAGGAGCAGTTTGAGGGTTGAGACCTGGGCTGTCTTCCCTCGTGTTGGTTGGAGAGGTTCTTGGACATAAGGAAAGATGGAAATCAGGCAGTGGATGCTCAGTCGGGAGTTAGGAGGTGGGTGATTGGAGATGGTCCCCAAAGAACTGGTGTTGGAAGCTGGGACGGGCTGCAGTCCCCAGAGAGCGAGTGTGGGCTGTGCCCAGGGTGCCAGCGTTAGGGCGGGTATAACAGACATTGCAGGGTCACTGCGGATGTTGACAGAGGCAACTCGGGAGGAGTGGTCAGGGTGAAAGGGGATTCAACAGACAGGGGTTCAGGCAGTGGAGGCAGTGAGTAGAGATGTTTGATGAGTCCTGAGAGCTAAGCGGGATTGTCTAGAAGAAAGGGGTGGGAATAGCAGGCCGCCCTGGGGAGGGATGGTGGAGCTTCAGAATCTGGGAAGCAGAAAGTCTGGGTGCAGAGTGAGGTGGGCAGGGAAGGCAGCAGGGGTGGAGGTGGGGAGTCCGGGCTTCATTCTGGGGCTTTGAGCAGAGGCAGGACGCGGTCAGGTGTATGTTTCAGAGCCCCGCCCTCTGGCCGGTGAGATGTTGGGGACGAGATGGAAAAGAAAGGGGTCTAAGTCCCTCTCTCTCTTTCTCCCCCTCTCACGCTCATCCCTCCCTTTGCTCGAGGGCGTCAGGATTTCCCAGGTGCAACCGGCAGATTCAGGCACCTTCACCTGTGTGGCCTCGAGCCCAGCAGGTGTGGCCAACAGACACTTCGTCTTGCAGGTGCACGGTACGGAGCAGGGGGTGGGTTATCAGGTCCTTTGGCCTTGGGGGTGAGAATCAAGGCCCTGTCCCCTCCCCTCTGCCCCTCTGTGTAGAACCAAGGGTTGGCCCTCAGGGATGTCAAGGCAGGACACACACTCAGCCCCTGGTTCATTCAGTCACTCTTTCATTGATCTCACAAGTAGTTCTTGAACACTAGCATGCCAGGGCCTCACCAGGATACGGCAGTGAGCAGAGGTGGCTGCGGACCCTAGGAGGTCGGTGAGGAAAACAGCTCTGTAGAAAGACAATTAAAATTCCAGGTGACTGGTGATGCCAGGGGAAGGCAGGATACGGCAGTGAGCAGAGGTAGCTGCTGACCCTAGGAGGTCAGCAGGAAATTAAAATTAAAATTCCAGGCAACTGGTGATGCCAGGGGAAGGAGAGGATGCCAGGGGAGCACCGAGGGGGCACCTTACCTGGCCTTGGGTGTTCAGAGAAAGCTTCCTGGAGGAGGTGAGGTCTAAGTTATGGACTGGAGATAAGAAGGAATAGACCGGGAGAAGGGCACTCTGGCCAAGAGTTACAGCCTGTGCAAAGGTCCAGGGGCCACCTGGCATCAGATAAATTGCCTCATGCTCACTCTTTGGCTCTGCACAGTGCCCCCTGTCCTGGTGCCGACTGAGTTCCAGAATGATGTGGCAGTGGTCCGTGGCTCCCTGGTGTTCCTCCCCTGTGAAGCCCGGGGAAGCCCCCTGCCCTTCGTGTCATGGATGAAGGATGGGGAACCACTTTTGCCCCAGAGCGTGGAGCATGGGCCTGGCCTGCTGCTGGAGTCAGCGGAAGCGGGGGACGCAGGGACCTACTCCTGCATGGCCATGAGTGAGGCAGGGGAAGCCAGGAGGCACTTCCAGCTGACGGTGATGGGTGAGTCACCTGCCCCTAGTGCCAGCTTTTCTGGGCTGGGGGTGGCAGGGGGTCCTCGGAGTGGGGAGGCAATGGAGAAGGTGGTGAGGGAGGTGAGCGCCCCAGAGGCTTGCTGACCTGGCTGTAGTGTCTGGGGGCCCAGATTCTTCATTCCCCTGGGGCTGTGCCCCCCAGTCTCATCACCCAAATCTTGTAAAGCAGGTAAAAAGCCACTGAGGTCTTGGGGGTTCTGGGTCTCAAGCACAAGATTTTGCAAGAGCTGTGCCACATTGAAAAGATGCATCTCCCTTCATCCTGTTTTCTGGTTGGTTTTAAAACACAGATAATTGCCCCAGGCAGATGAGCCCATGGTCTGATGCTTTTAGGACCCTCCAACACCATCACCAGGTCTTCCCTGGTGGTTCAGTGGTAAAGAATCTGCCTGCGATGCAGGAGACGTGGGTTTGATCCCTGGGTTGAGAAGATACCCTGGAGAAGGAAATGGCAACCCACTCCAGTATTCTGGCCTGGGAAATCCCAAGGTTAAAGGAGCCATGTGGGCTACAGTCCATGGGGCCGCAAAGAGCTGGACACGAGTGAAGAAGTATGCTGCAGCAGCAGTAACATGATCACCACCGCCTGTTTGTGGCCCGTCTGCTGTCAGCATCTGGGTGGTGGGGGAGGCAGGGAGCCCCAGCTCCCAGTGCTCCCGGCATGGCCTCCAAGGCTGACCCAGGGCGGGGTGTCTTGCAGATCCCCCCTACATCGAGGACTCAGGCGAGCCCGAAGAGCTGTTGCTGACCCCTGGCACCCCCTTGGAGCTCCTGTGTGATGCCCGGGGCACCCCCACACCCAACATCACCTGGCACAAGGATGGGCAGGCCCTGAGCAGTCCAGAGGATGGCAAAGGGGCCAGGCGGGTGCTGCAGGTGGAGGGCGTGCAGGTGCGGCTGCCCCAGCTGCCACGGGACGAGGCTGTGGAGGTGCGGGGAGGGGCCCAGCAGCACTCAGCAAGGTTCGGCCAAGCTCCCCTTTTGTTTGGGGTGTGAGGATGTGAAGATGAGCCCCTTGGCCCGGGGCCATGCCCTTGGGAACCCCCAGTCAGGTCTGACTCAAGGCTGATGCAGAAACCAGGTAAATCCCTAGCCCAACCAGAAAAGAACTGGTACAGTCAAGGGGGACTTCCTGGAGGAGACAAGCTCTGCCCTAGCCCTGAAACAAGGGCGAGGCAATAATAGGGAAGAAAAGTCCCAGAGAGGAGAATAGGTTTGTGGCAAAGGCGGGGTGGCAGACAACAGACCTAAGTCTGAGTCCTGGGCCCTTAGCTGTGTAAGTGGGAAGCCAGGTCAGGAGGTGGGCAAGCTGGGGTCAGAGGCAGCTGCTCACCCTGCTCCATCCCCAGGTGGGCGATGCTGGGCTGTACACTTGCCTGGCCCACAGCCCTGCCGGTGAAGCTGAGAAGAGCTTCCGGGTCAGAGTTCAAGGTATGGGGTGCCGGAGTGGGGGCAGGAGAGGAAGGCAGAATGGGACAGGCCAAGGCGAGTCCATCTCTCATGCCCTCTCTGCCTGCCCCACCAGCCCCCCCAAATGTCATTGGGTCCCATGGCCCCCGCTTTGTGGTTGGCCTGGCCCCGGGACAGCTGGTTCTAGAGTGCTCGGTGGAAGCAGACCCAGCACCGGAGATCGAGTGGCACCGAGAAGGCATCCTACTGCAGGTGGGTGCCAGGCTGGGCACCTGGGGCCCTGCCTTCTGTCCCTCTCGGGCCCCAGGCCCTGAGCAGACTGGCTCCCAGGTGCCAGGAGCCTGCTCTCCTGACTGTTAAATCATATCTCCGCCCTGTTAAATTGTTATATAATTATTACCTCATATTGGTGACGGGGCTACTGAGATGAGGCTAAGGTTTGCACCAGGACTTTTGACGCCTGTCTGTACTGTACCTTTGAGCCAGGCCTCGTGACTGTGTGGCCTGGGGCCCGTTCCTGAGGTTCTCTGTGCTCACCCCTGAGATGAGGCCCATTTGAGGCTGTGGATTCAAGGATTGTAGATCTGAGCGAGGCTCCAGCTCCTGCTCTGAGCATGAGCCCCCTGCAACAGGCCTGAAGGCGGAGCTCCAGGGAGGACACCCTTCCCTCCCAAAGGAGCCTGTTTCCCCAGAGAGCCCTCAGTTGGGCACCGGTGCAGGGGCTGTGGGCCAGTCCCACTGGTTCCATGACCCTGCCGCCTGGGGGGCTGGCCAGGCCTAGCCCCGCACTGATGAGGGGCTGCCACCCGGTGGGGGCTCTCTCCAGGCAGATGCCCACACCCAGTTCCCCGAGGAGGGCAGATTCCTCCAGCTGCAGGCCCTGAGCACAGCCGACAGCGGCGACTACAGCTGCACTGCCCGCAACGCAGCGGGCAGCACCAGCCTGGCCTTCCATGTGGAGGTCCACAGTGAGTGCTCCCAGCCCACCTGCCCTGCCCACCCTCCGGAGAGCAACAGACTCCCAGCACCCTCTCTCTCTGTGCCCCTCCTCCAGCGGTGCCCACCATCCAGCCAGGACCACCTATAGTGAACGCCTCTGTGAACCAGACGACCCTGCTGCCCTGCCAGGCAGATGGTGCCCCCCGGCCCCTCGTGAACTGGCTGAAGGACGGGGTCCCCCTGGATCCCGAGAGCCCCAGGTGGGTGCTGGCAAGGGGGGGCCTTAGGAAAGGGCTCAGGTACCTCTCTGCAGGTTGTAAGTGGAAGCCCACGTGGGAAGTTGGAGCAGAAAGGAGATGGGTCTTCTCAGAACCCAAGGGCAGACATGCCCATTGGTTAAAGGCCTGAGAACCCTGGTCTGTCTGTCTGTCTGTCTGTGTCTGGTTTTGACTCTCGCTTGCTAACCTCTGTTTCCGTGTGTGGGTTTTAGGCCTCTCTGTCCCTCAGATCAATTTTCTATACCTTCTTTCTCTGTGAACAGGTTAGGGATGCTCCCCCACCAGCCTCCCACGCCGCCCAAGTTTTAACTCCTCCGTTCACACAAGCTGCAGAGCCGGGAGAGCTGTCTGTGAATCCCAGTCCCAAGTTCCCAGGGCAGAGAATTCCATTGGCCCGGCCTGCGGGCTGTGTTCGTCCCCAGTCCAATTGGCTGCGGCCAAGGGTGGGATCACAGGGTACAGACCGGCCCCTGGGAAAGGGCAGTTGCCAGACCCGATCTAGAGGCTGTTCTCAGGAGGAGTGGGGGTACCACTGCCTGCAGGCTCTTGGGGAGAGCCTGGGTCAAGGTGGGAGCGTGGAAGGCCGGAAGCAGCCCCCCTCACCCTTTCTGGTTCTAGGTCGCCATGTGGGTTGCTGCCCATGGCCGTGACCCCCACCCCACCCAGACCTTGGCCTCAAACCTGCAGGACTGCTGAGTTAGCGCCCTCTTGCTGGAAAAGTGAGGGACCGAGGGGAGGGTCTTGCTGGAGACACCACCAGGCGTCCCCTCCCTGTGTTCCAGGTTTCAAGTTCTGCCTGAGGGTTCCCTGAGGATCCAGCCAGTCCTCGCCCAGGACGCCGGCCACTATCTCTGCCTGGCATCCAACCCTGCAGGTTCTGATCGGCAGGGTCTTGACCTCCGGGTCTTCGGTAGGTAGACGAGTAAAGAAAGTGTGTTTTTTGGCCTTCAGCACCCACCCCCTGTCTGGGCCAGGTCCTGCTTAGCTTCTGGGTCATCCTAGCTGTCAGGAGCCAAGAGCAATGGTCTCCAAATGTTTTTTGACTATGAAGCCCATTGGTTAAAAGTTTTGTGTGTATACTCAAAGATGCACGTTTGTTTTTATGCAAACACATACACTTACTGCTATACTGTTATAGTGAGAGAGAAACTATGTACCAGCTGTATGACACTCAGAATCACTGAGCCAGAGGCTCTAATCTGCTCTTCAGTCCAATCGATGACCTTGGTGGAGGAGCTGAGCGCTGGCTCAGGCAGGCTGCTGGGGGATTTTGCCCTGGAGCCCCATTCAAGGAGAGGTAGTTAGGGAGATGCCAACCTCGGGCGAGCAAAGGTCCCATCACCCCAGCTTTGGGAGCCCATTGGAAGACCCACTCTGGGAGTTTCTCCTGCCTCCCAGTACCTGCTTCCTTGGGAGTGGGTTGAAGGGGATAAGAGTAAACCCTGATCCTTGACTTCCTCTCTGGGCACAGCCCCACCAGACCCCCTCCCGCTGCCCACGTTCCGCACCCTGTCTCCTGATCACTGCTTTCTCCCCAGAGCCTCCAACCATCGCCCCCGGCCCCTCCAACCTGACCCTGACTGCTCTCACCCCAGTCTCGCTGCCCTGTGAGGCCAGTGGCTCCCCCAAGCCCCTCGTGGCCTGGTGGAAGGACGGACAGAAGTTGGACTTCCGCCTGCATCAGGGCATCTACAGGTGCTGAGCTGATACTTCCGGGGACATCAGGAGATCCTCAGGGTGGAGGAGGGATTGCCCATCTCATGGACGGGGAGCTGGGTCACAACCGAGGTAGGGATGTGCTTGGGTCTCACTCACCAAAGCCAGCACCAGAACTTTTGTGTCCGGACCTCAGGGGGCAAGGAGATCTTTACAGGAGATGCTCGGTAGGAGGTGGGGGCATTGGTGACATACAGCCAACTGGAGAATATATGGCCTTTGAAACCACTTCAGTCACTATTTAAAAACCCACCTAGATATGGAATTTAGAAAGATGGTAATAATAACCCTATATGCAAAACAGAAAAAGAGACACAGATGTATAGAACAGACTTTTGGACTCTGTGGGAGAAGGCGAGGGTGGGATGTTTCAAGAAAACAGCATCGAAACATTATCTAGGGTGAAACAGATCACCAGCCCAGGTTGAGTGCATGAGACAAGTGCTCGGACCTGGTGCACTGGGAAGACCCAGAGGGATCAGGTGGAGAGGGAGGTGGGAGGGGGGATCGGGATGGGGAATACATGTAAATCCATGGCTGATTCATGTCAATGTATGACAAAAACCACTACAATATTATAAAGTAATTAGCCTCCAACTAATAAAAATAAATGGAAAAAATAAATAAATAAAAACCCACCTAGAAGCTTAAGTTCATGCTGGCTAAGACTGAACCCATAGCGCCTGCAGCAGCCTTGGTCTCCCTGTTTCTCAAATCTGATCCTGAACTGATCCCTGCGAGGATTAAGGGAGCCGGTGCAGCAATGAATTCACCAGGTATTTGTTGTGTTAGGTGCCGGGTCATCGTGGAGCTTTGTGACGAAACAGATGCTCAGTGAACACAAGCAATTCTAATCAGGGCTTTGGATGTGGTCGCTACTGCAGAAGTTATCCTAGGTGCTGACTGTAGAAAACTTTCTAGGATTATGGAGAAACCCAGGCACAGACATTAAAACCACCCACAAACTCAACAGCTTGACCTTAGGAGGTGGAAAATTCTAGGAGAAACTTTTCGAGTCAGCCCTGGGGACCAGATACGGGAAGGGAAAACAGTCAGGAGACACGCCCTGCCTCCAACTTCCCCGGCCAGGGAAGTCATGGCTGGCTGGTTTCAGGTCAGCCAAGCCAGTCACTTAGCAGATGACTGTCTGTCTCTCCGTCCAGACTCCTGCCCTCCAGCGCCTTGCTCCTTGAAGCCCCCAGCCCCCAGGACTCGGCCCAGTTTGAGTGTGTGGTGAGCAATGAAGTGGGTGAGGCCCGCAAGCTCTACTGGGTGACGGTTCATGGTGAGTTCAGGGGCAGGGCTGATGGTTTACGGGAAGTTCACGGTCAGGGGTGAAGGTTGAGGACAGTGCCTCCCTCTTCTGGGCACTCTCTCTGCCTGCAAGGACCTGAGGGTTCCCCCGAGTCTTTCTTTTATTCCTGAATCACCTCCTCCAGGAAGCCCTCTCTGATCCTGCTCTCCCACACTGACATAACCCGACTGCAGCACAGCCTATGGGAGCTTGTAGGAGAGGCTTCTCCCTAAATCCAAAATATTCTGAACCCAAATCTGACCTTGTCATCACCCCAGATTAAAGTCCCTCCCATCATGGCTGCCCACTGCCCTCAGGATAGAAAGCTCAGTGTCACCTGGGCTCACAAGGTCAGTCCTGCCAACCCCCAGGTTCAGCTCAGCTTTTTGTTCCTTACCTTGGGGACTTTGCACATGCTATTCCCTCTGCAGTAAACACTCTTCCCTTCACCCAGGCAACACCTGCTCTTCCTTCAGATCTCAGGTTAAATGCCATGTCCCCCGAGGGCCTTCTCTGGCCTCCCCAGCTCTGTGCTCCCACCAAGCGCCCTTGTCTTGTGAAACGCTCCCTGAGATACCTGGCTAGTATTTCTAGAAAGCAGTTCATAACTATCCCCAGGGCCCAGCAGAACAGCTGAGTGAACGAATGTGACTGCCTCTCTGCTGTGCCTCGCTCCCTGGCCCCCATCACTGACGTCCCCGTGTCTTTGTCTGTCCTCCTCATCCGCTTGGCCCCGTGGCTCTGTGTTCCCCAGGGGACCTCAAGCCCTGACTTGTGTTTCAGTGGCTCCCACCATTGCCGACGACCAGACAGACTTCACGGTGACCGTGACGGCGCCCGTGGTCCTCACATGCCACAGCACGGGCATGCCGGCCCCGGTCGTGTCCTGGAGCAAGGCAGGCACCCGGCTGGGGGTGCGAGGGAACGGCTACCGTGTGTTACCTTCAGGTGAGGCAGGGTGAGCCGCGTGGACCTCTGCGGAGGGGACACGGAGGGACACTGGGCAGAGGCCGTGGAAGCAGCCCATGGGGGCCTGGGGGTTGAGCAAGATGGAAAGTGCTGGCCCGACTCTGCCATTCCCTCCCTGTGTGACCTGGGAGAGCCCCCTGACCCTCTCTGGGTCTCCCCATCCAATCACTGGAGTGTTGATATTTATCAGTTGGTCCCTGATGTTAGCTGGTAAATCGGTGCTGCTTACTGACAAAATGAGAAAGACAAGAGTTACGTGAGAGTTTACATAAAGCTGGTTTTAGCTCATTTGAATTGTCCTTTATTCTGAAATAGTGCTTTTCTTAATAATTTGGGGTTGAAAGTTTTTATGAAATTAAGGTGATAGTAGATGTGATGTGACTTAAGTAGTAGTAGGTGTGACTTAAGTGTCTTTGCTTGTCAAAATAAAAAGTTGGCAGCTTTACGGGGATTCTCCAGATTAAATGTATTTGTATTGGTCAGGGAAATCCTAAAGTGTGTGAGCCATTGGCCAGATCTGTAGTTGTCCCACTCTTTCAACGCAGTAGAACTCTTCCTTCTGACAAGTGGCTATGAGGAAGCCGAACACGTGAGAGAAGCTAGGTTCTGGTTCCGTTTGGGGCTGGGGTGGGTGCTGCAGAGTGGGCCAGAGCCAGGCAGGTCTCGGCTTCCCTTGCCCACTCAGGAGGCCCTCAGGGGTCTACAGGGAATGATTTAGAAACCACCTTACCTGACCGTTAAGGTGCAGCTTACAGTCTGGGAAGGTTGAAATGGTGTTCACTGAGCAGCCAAGACAGAGGCAGAGAGGGCCAAGGGAGGACAGAGGAGGTGGTAACCTAGGAGGGCTTCCTGGAGGAGGCAAATTTTGAGTAGTGCACAACAAGGACAGCAGAGTGAAGGCCTGTAGAACCTTGCTAAGGTGGAGGTGGGCCAGGGATTCCAGGTGGGGCAGTGGCAGATTCAGGCACATCACAGCCGGAAAGGTCTAAAGACCATCCTGTGTGATTCCACATTGTACACCTGGCCCAGAGGCTGGAAGGTGCAGAGAGCGGAAGGGACTTGCCCATGGTTATGCTCTGGGCAGGGAGAGAGGCAGGCCCAGGTTCCCCCATGCTCCTCACAGATGGGCAGGGAGGCAGGTTGCATGGTCTGCAACAGAGACACCAGGGTGGGATGTGTAAGAGCCCAGCCGGCTTCTTCCCTGGGATGTCCGTTCCGGGTCCCCTCATCCCTTTCTCTGCCCCATTCCTACCCACAGGGGCCCTGGAGATTGGGCAGGCCCTCCCCATCCACACCGGCCGCTACACCTGCACGGCCCACAACGCTGCAGGCATCGCCCACAAGCACGTGGTCCTCACTGTACGAGGTAAGCATCCCCGGGCCAGACAGCTGTGGCCCTGGAGGCAGGGGAGCAGGTGGAGGGCTAGGGGATTCTCTGGGAGAAAAGACTCAGCCTGCCTATGTCCTCCGTTCCGAGGTTTCCGGAAGCCCCTGTTCCCTTTAGAAGCCTCTGTCTCTGGTGCTCAGACACCCCCCGGTTGGAGGTGCCCCCAGGGACCTCTGCCACCCTGTTCCTTTGCAGCCTCCCCCGTGGTGAAGCCACTGCCCAGTGTGGTCTGGGCAGTGGCCGAGGAGGAGGTGCTGCTGCCCTGCGAGGCCTCGGGCCTCCCCCGGCCGAGCATCGCCTGGCAGAAGGAGGGGCTCAGCATGCCTGCAGGTGAGTCCCCTCTTGGGGTCCTCCTTCCTGTCCTGGGGCCGCCCACTCCTACAGGGAGGTCTGGAAAGCCCACGCCCTGCCCAGAGGCATGGCACCCACCTCCTGCCCACCTGTCTTCTCTCACCAGCCCAGAGCTCTTCATTCTGCCTGAGTGCTTGGTGGCTGGGTTGGGGGACTGAGGAGGGGGATAGCCCAGAAGGGCTCTGGGTCCAGCTTCCAGGCTCACTCTGTCCCCCCGTCAGCCTGTGACCACAGCAAGTCACTTGTCTGGTCAGACCAAACTGCCCAAGCAGCCTTCCAGCCCTCCTTGGGGGTCCTGCTGCCCCAGCCACTGGCTCCCATCCTCCCCACCAAATCCAGGGGCTGGTACCCAGGTCCTACCCAGTGGACAGCTGCGGATTATCCACGTCAGCCCAGAGGATGCTGGGAACTATTTCTGCCTCGCCCAGAACAGCGCAGGCAGTGCCGTGGGGAAGACTCGGCTGGTGGTGCAAGGTGGGCCCAGGGAGGGGGACCAAAGTGGACCCCAGTGAGCTAGGGGCTTTGAGACTCCTGAGAGCCCCTTCGGTCTCTGCCTGGCTCTGGTCCCAGGGCGGGGCATGTCCCTGCATCCACGCCTATTCCAGCATGGCTGGTGGTTCTAGAAGGAATTCAAGGAACACAGCTCCCATTTTTGCACCCAAGGTCTGGCTTCAGACAGTAACTCCGGTCCTCTCTGCTTCCTCTGGCTTCTCGTGGGAAACGAATCTGGATGTTCTTCATTCACATTGGCTTTGCAGTAGCAACAGCCATTTCTGTCGTGTTAGCCCCTGTGTGCGCATGTGTGTGAATGGGGGTCACTATGTCACAGCTTCACCAAACTCGAGAAAATCCCCAGGTTGTGCAGACCACGGGCAATGGCTTATGACCAGGGGACAGTGAGGAGTCCAGCAGGTGAAGTGGAAGAAGGGGCTGAGGGTGTGCCAAGTGCCAAGGGCACTGGGACAGGGGTAAGCCACCCCAGGCCAGTCCCAGTCCCCGAGCAGACTCCCTCTCCCCCCACAGTCCCGCCCGCGATCAAGACTGGCCTCCCCGACCTGTCCATCACTGAGGGCGCCCACGCCCTCTTGCCCTGCACCGCCAGCGGCAGCCCCAAGCCTAACATCACTTGGGAAAAGGATGGCCAGCCTGTGTCCGGAGCCGAGGGGAAGTTCACCATCCAGCCTTCCGGGGAGCTGTTGGTGAAAAACTCGGAGGTGAGGGCCTTGTCCCCGGGAGCAGAGGGAGATGATAGTGACAGCGGAAGCAGCAGATGCCTGCTGAGCACCTGTGTCATGGTCTGTGCTGAACTGCGCCACTTCTTAATCCTCGAACCTGGGGAAGTAGGTATTATCACCCCCGCTGCAGACGAGGAAGTGCTTCCCTGGTGGCTCAGTGGTAAAGAATCTGCCTGCCAGTGCGGGAGACCCAAGTTCAGTCCCTGGGTGGGGAAGTTCCCCTGGAGAAGGAAATGGCAACCCACTCCAGTGTTCTTGCCTGGGAAATCCCATGGACAGAGGAGCCTGGTGGGCTACAGTCCACAGGGTCTCAGAGTCAGACACGACTTAGTGACTAAACAACAACAGATGAGGAAACTAAGGTTCAGAGTGTACCCAGGTGTTCAAGACATGCTGTTTCAAGAGATTTGGATCAGGACCTCTGTGGCTAGTTCCTGGGGAGGGAAGGAGAGGGGTGCATGGCAGTGACTTTATGTCCCCAAACTGCCCCTACTCTTCTCAGCCTGAGTCACGGGCGTGGATGGGACCCGGGCCCCCTTCCCCCATCAGCATGCATCATGTTCTATAATGACAAAAAGTCACTCTCCAGTTAGATGGGCAGCTGGCTGCTGGGCGGGCACACCGGAGGGGGTCTCGGGGGCAGGGATCCTGCCACACAGGGAGCCAGATGTGCAGTGGAGAGCCCTGTTGAGATGCCGGTCAGGATGTCTCCTCTCAGAGAAGGACTGGCCTCAGGATGATGGATGAGGTGAGCTCAGGTCCCATCCTGAGCATGTAGTAGGTGGTCAGCAAATGGTGACTATTATGAGCGTGTGGTCAGGCCTAGATGATAAAGGCTGAAAATTCAATAAGCAATCAAATGAAGATTTTTTTTTAAAGGAAATTTAATTTGAGCCCAACCGAGGATTATAACCCAGGGGACCTGTTAGACATCAAGGACACAGTCACATATATTTTTAAGACAAAGAATCGTACATCAAAATGAGACATTGGTATTTTAGATAAAGTTCACCAAAGACACATACTCCAGGTAAGCACGTACAAAGTGAGCAGCAACTCACCATGACCCGCTTAGAGAGCTGGGAAAGAATGCGCTTCTTTTAAGAAGTCAGAGCAAAGAAAAAAGATTGGTCTTTACGGCCAAGCAGGCACATCCGTCTTTGAGGAGGTCTGGTTAATGGGTAGTGCAGTTTAGTGAGGGGAAGGGGAGGCCCAAAAAGACTTGGAGAGAGAATCTGATGTTTCATTTTTCTTGTCCTGCCTTAAAATATAAATTTTATTTCATCAAAACGCATAGCCAGGACTTCCCTGGCGGCCCAGTGGTTAAGACCCTATGCTCCCAATGCCGGAGGCACGGGTTCCATCCCTGGGTGGGGAACTAAGATCCTGCGAACTGCACACGGCACAGTCCAAAGAAAACCAGTGCCTGGCCATATGGAGGTGTCAGGGAGGCACAATGGTGAAGCCAAGCCGTTTGCCAGCTGTGTGACTGGGGCAAGTCACTTTGCCTGTCTGGGCAGCATGGTCCACGGGAACCTTCCCGGGAGCAGGTCCCCAGGGAACATTCTGGCTGGAGCAGGAGCAGTTCTCAGGCCGACCCCTCCCTTTGCCCACAGAGCCAGGACGCTGGCACTTACACCTGTACCGCTGAGAACGCTGTGGGCCGTGCGCGCCGCAGAGTGCATCTCACCATCCTGGCCCTGCCTGTCTTCACCACCCTGCCTGGGGACCGCAGCCTGCGCCTCGGGGACAGGCTGTGGCTTCACTGTGCGGCCCGAGGCAGCCCTACACCCCGAATAGGCTGGACTGTCAACAACCGGCTGGTCACAGGTCTCAGCCTGCTGGGGGCGGGCGGAACAGGGACCTGGGACCCTGGGAGGTTGAAGAGGATGGGGAAGAGGGTGCCAGTCAGCCTGTGGGTTCTGGGTCTCCAGACTTGGCCCTGCGTTGTGGGGACAGGGAAAACACACGTGGCCCTGCGTGACCAGTCACAGATCAGACCCGACAAGAAGCTACCTGCACAAAAGGCTCTGGAGACCTCTGGGCCAGGAATAGGGACCGAGCTCCAGCCCAGCCCCTCAGCAAACTCCTTTCCCGGAGGGCTCTTTCCTCCCACCTGTACCCCAGGCACTATTTCGGGAGGCCCAAGGGTTGGATAGCATCACCGACTCTATGGACACGAACCTGGCAAACTTCAGGAGATAGTGAGCGACAGGGAGGCCTGGCGTGCTTCAGTCCATGGGATTGCAGAGTCGGACACAATTTAGCGACTGGGCAACAACAAGGTCTATCCAGACCCTGTGGTATATAGAGTATGTGCTCAGTAAGTGTCTGCTGAATGGATAAATTGCTAAGCCCCCTCCACTGCAAATGATATTTTCAGACCCCCCTAGCCCAGGTGCTGGGGAACATGTGTGGCTCCCGTTTGCACGCCTACAGAAAGCTTTGCTTCAACCCCATGGCTTCCTGGGCAGCGAGCTTGGGAAGGAGATTCAGCCTTTGTGAACCCTGCTCTTCATCTTAAAACGGAGAAAGCTGTGTGGTCCTGAGGGCAGCATGATTTAACGCAGAAGGCACGCCCGGCAGGGCCCCGCCCAGAGTGAATGGCCCATCAGGGTAGCACTTGGCCTTGTGCCCGATGTAGGGACCGTGTCCAATGATGACAGGGAATCAAAGGCTGGCCACAGCACCTATCTGTATGTAGATCGTGGCATCATCTCTACAAGTGTCACGTGTTAATAGGTCTCCAAACACCTACCCTGGGCCACTCATCAAACTCAGTGTGAACAGGAAGATGAGAAAGACAGGTCCTCAACTGCGTCCTCTAACATGGCCTGTGCCTGCCATGATCGGGTCTGACGTGCTCAGGCTTCCAGTCCAAGGACACTTCGTGCCTTTATGAAGCACCTGCTGGATACCCAGGCCCGAGTTAAGTGTTCCGGGCAGGAGGTCGCGGCACCCTGAGCCCAGAGCTCCATGGGGCGTCTCTTTCTCTGCCACAGAAGGGGTGTCCGAGCAGGACGGGGGCAGCACGCTGCAGCGGGTGGCAGTCACCAGAGAGGACAGCGGGACCTACACCTGCTGGGCGGAGAACAGAGTGGGCCGCGCGCAGGCGGTCAGCTTCGTCCACGTGAAGGGTAGGCAACGACCCCGTGGTCTTCCTCCAGGCTTCTGCCAACTCAGTCTAGTGGTTTTTCTAAGAAATTGGCCTCCTGATCTCTGAACCAATGCCTCTCCATCCTGGTTGGCCTTTGGAATCTCCTGGGGGGCTTCATAAAACCCCAAGGCCCAGATTTCACCTGACCAGTAAAGATGAGGCCCCGACATCAGTATTTTTTACCCTCCTCAGATGTCTTGGGCCTTCCCAGGTGGCGCTAATGGTAAAGAACCTGCCTGCCAATGCAGGTAGACCTAGGAGATGAGGGTTCAATTCCTGGATCAGGAAGATCCCCTGGAGGAGGCCATGCCTACCTACTCCAGTATTCTTGCCTGGAGAAGCCCTTGGACAGAGGAGCCTGACAGGCTACAGTCCATAGGGTTGTACAGAGTCAGACACGACTAAAGTGACTTAGCATGCGTAGATGCCCCGGCTGCAGGTAGAATGAGATCTGACCCATTGACCTTCAGCACTACCCTTAGCTGGACAGGGTAAGTGTGGGAGGGGGCTGGGGGCCTGGCCAACAATGTGAGAATCTCACCAGTTTTCCAGTTGCCCCTCACAACCCTCCTCCCCCAGGAGCAGCCCAGTAACCATCACGGCACCATAACCTGTAGACTCAGCTTTAGGATGGGAGGGTGGGGCCCAATGGACAGAATGAGCTGCCCCTGGCAACAGGACTCTACTGCTGGTAGATTCAACCTCAGGAAAGCAGCAAGGGTGAAAACCGGCACAGGGCAGCCAACAGTGGTTTAAGCATCGCATGGAATGAGAATCAGAGACGTCTCAGTGTTGTTGTGTCCAACAGAGGTGTCCTAATGACCCTGTCATCCTTGTTTTCCAAAGTACTCTATGAGTATATGACATTCATACCATTTCTCCATGCCTGTGCCTGTCTCAGGCATCACTAATCAATCATAGCACTATTCCCACTCGGCTTCAAATCCTCAGCACGGTGTTCCTGGCAGCCACTGCCAAGCTAGTGCACTTGACCCATGACACGGAAGTTGTTTGCTATCCCTAATGCATTGACTACACAGCCATGCCGAACCAGCAGGAGCCTCTGTGGGTCATTGGGATCTGGCAGGCAGGCCGTTGGGGATGGATTCATGGGAGGCTTAACCTAAAGGGGACCTCCTTTCTGACCCCGCTGTCTGATGTCACCTGACGCAGAGGCCCCTGTCCTACAAGGGGAGTCATTTTCCTACCTGGTGGAACCCGTTGGGGGTAGCATCCGGCTGGACTGTGCAGTCCATGGAGACCCAGTGCCTGACATCTACTGGATCAAAGATGGCCTTCCGCTGCGGGGCAGCCGGCTCCGGCACCGGCTGCAGAATGGCTCACTGATCATCCGCAGGACGGAGGCAAGGCGGGGCCCGGGGCTGGGCTGGGGCCACCAGGACAACCTCCACTCTGTCTGATGGCCCAAGATACTTGTTTAGTAGGTTGGCACCACCTGATACAGTCTTCAAAGCGCTTTCCTGCCCATACCCTGAGATTCTCCCCCGACTAACTAGGGCGACCTCCAGCCAATGGCTTCACTTCTCTGCACCTCAATTACCTTATCCATTCAGTGGGGCTAATAATCATCCCACCTCATAGATGTGCAGTGAGAAATCAGTGAGATGACCCACACCAGGTATCTGAGAGTGACTGGCCCCTCGGTAATGCTAATGTATATAATCAATAACCACCCCATGGAGCAGAGTAAGCAGATAAGAACGCACCATTTTACAGATGAAGACACTGAGGGTCAGAGAGGCCCCCAGTCAGTAAGCACTTGAGTGAAGACCCCACCCCAGGTATCCTGATTCCTACTTCACGCTGTTTCCAAAGCCTTGAGCTCAGAGGCAGTCTCTGCTTGCTCACCTTTGCTTCTGTGTCCCAAGTCCCAGTGGTTGCACAGAAACCCACAGTTAGGGGCTGTCATGGACTCGCTTTAGAGGTCCTTAATCTCACCCATTTGGGAGCCTGTCTCAGACCAGTATCAAGGCAGCTACGGCAGCAGCAACAGGGCTTCCGTGACCTGCATATTTACAGTGTGGGGCCAGGCACTGTGCCTCGAACTTAGTGAGCATGAGCTCATCTGATGCTTACAACAATCCTATCATCCCCATTTCAGAGATGGGGAAACTGAGTCTCCAGAGACACAGTCATGCACTAGTAATGGGTTCAATATGGTAAGCAGGGGACCCAGAGCCGGTCTCATCTTGGACTGATGCCCAACTCTGCCCTCTTAATTGCATGCCATGCCTCCCGCTTACAGTCCCTTGGGAGCGGCCTCCGGGAAATTATCTTCTGGGTGTGGACCCTGGCCTTGGCTGCCCCCAGCTCCGTCTCATGGCAGTACTGCCCCTCGGAAATGAATCTGAGCCAGCATTCTTCCTGAGTTACCTCATTGCCGTGGTCATGGATATCCCAGGACGAAGTCTTCCCTTTCACCAGGGCCGGGAAGTGCTGCAAACACTCCCTCCTCCCCCAGAAGCCTTGCAGCTGTGCACCCAAGGAGCCTGCAGTTCTGTGTCTGCACCTGTTCTTGTCTAACTCAGTGTTGCCCCAACTATTTTTTTAAAAGGCATCCCCAATAATGTGCAGTGGCATCATAATACTTTAATGTACGTAATTCAGAAGAGGTGGATCTCAAGCATGCATTGGCAGCATATGGTTCCACTTAGAGCCATGAACTGCCACCACCCTTAAGCTGCAGGTGTGAAAGGGGCAGGAGTTTCCTCTCTGGATTCTATTCAGCAGCAGCCGTGGCTGCCCTGCTGATGGGATGTGCTGGCCCCTGGCTGGTTTGGGCTCTCAGCTCCTTCCCGGTTAGGAGGGCCTTGCTCCAGGGGCCCCTTCCTGTGTCCAGCTGTCCCCAGATGCTCCCTGCCCGCCTCGTCCTCCTCTCCTGAACACCACGCCCCCTCCTGCGCCCCCCACAGGTGGATGACGCAGGACAGTACCAGTGCCTGGCAGAGAACGAGCTGGGCGCTGTGGAGAAAGTGGTGGTCCTTGCGCTGCAGAGTAAGTCTCGGGCCCGCCTTTCTTGGGCCCTGGGTGGGGGGCACCAGGTGACAGGGGTCCTCAGGGGGCAGCTGTGCTGAGGCTGTGGCTGTCTGATGGGACAGGAGGGCCATTCTGAATATTTACTCAGAACACACAGTTGAAGTTTCATGAATTGTCTCTGCGACATGGGATGGGAATCAGAGGCTGGTGACTCCTAGGGGAACCTGTTTATGCAGAACTCAAGGGACTTCCCTGGTGGTCTGCTAGTTAAGTCACCATGCTTCCAATGCAGGTGGTATGGGTTTGATCCCTGGCTGGGCAACAAAGATCCCACATGCTGCATGGCACAGCCAAATGAGTAAATAAATAAAGTTAAAAAAAAAAGAACTCAAAACTGTCACCAAGGTGATCATGACAGCTCCTAAATTTGCCAAGCAGCTTATAACTAACAAAGCACCATGTGAGCCTCAAAATAACCTTATGAAACAGTCTGAATAGAAATTTTTTAAAGTTTTTATTGGAATATAGTTGATTTATTAATATAATGTGTTAGTTTCTGCTGTACAGTAAAGTGAAACAGTCATGCATACACATATATCCACCTTTTTTTAAGATTCTTTTCCCATATAGGTCATCCCACATAGAGTATGGAGCACCCTTTGCTATGCAATAGGTCCTTGTTAGCTATCTATTTTATATACAGTAGTGTGTGTATATGTCAATCCCCATCTCTCAGTTTACCGCTCCCCCCAGCTCTGAAAGGAAATAATGCCATTTGCAGCAACATGAACAGGCCTAGAGCTTGTCATAATGAATTAAGTAAATTAGAGAAAGACAAATATCATATGGTATTGCTTAAATGTGGAGTCAGAAAAATATGGTACAAATGAACTTACTTACAAAACAGAAATAAACAGGGATTTTTAATGATACTCTGTGTTGAGTAACAGTCAAGGAGAAGGGTACATGTTGCAAGAGGACACCGCAGTGAAATTTCATCACATGATCCAAAAACAGCGGTGTCAGCTCCCAGACCCTCCCCACATCACGCTGCCTTCCGGTCACTACCCCCTTCCCAAGAGAATCACCGTCCAGGACTTCGCCTTTTAAAAAAATGTAGCTTTATTGACACACAATTTATATACCATAAAATCCACCCATTCATATTAAGAGCGCCCCACCCTTAAAAAAGAAGGAAACTCTGTCACATGCTATCGCACGGACGGACCTGGAGGACATTACGTTAAATGAAATAATCCAGTCACAAAGAGACAGATACTATAAAATTCTAACTGTATGAGGTCCCTAGAGTAATCAGATTCATAGAAATGGGAAGTTAAGACGGTGGGGGCCAAGGGCTGGGTGCGAGGCATGTGGATTTAGTGTTTAATGGATACAGAGTTTCAGTTTGGCAAAATGAAGAAGTTCTGCGGGTGAACGGTGGTGACAGTTGCATGAAACGCAAATACACTCAACACGACTTAACGGTGTCCTTAAAAACGAGTACGATGGTAAATTTTATGTTATATGGTTTCTACACAATTTTTTCCTGTCCTCCTGCATGGCATGTGGGATCCTGGCTCCCTGAGCAGGGATCGAACCCATGCCCCCTACACTGGAAGCATGGAGTCTTAACCACTGGACCTCCAGGGAAGTTCCCGCAGGTTTTCAAGTGACAAAATTCACACACGAGAGCGGAATTGCCGTACTGGCTGCGGGAGGCTACGCGTGGCTCCCAAAGATGCGGCCACATCCTAGTCTCCAGGACTTGTGATTTCTATTTTTTTAATTTACTTTTTACTTTATATTGGAATACAGTTGATTGATAGTGTTGTGTTCATCTGAGATGTAGAGCAAAGTGATGCAGTTATACACATATGTGTACCTCTTCTTTGTCGGATCCTTTTCCCATATAATATTATCTTACTTGGAAAAAGAATCTTTGCAGATGCAATTGAGTTAAGGATCTTGAGATAAAGAGGTTGTCTTGGATTGTCTTGGTGAGCTCTGAATGCTAGCAAGTGTTCTTTAAGAGAGAAGCAGAGGGGCGTTAGAAGGAGACACACACACAGAGACGCGGGAAGCAAGAGGGGGGAATCAGATGTTAGGGTGTAGGTAGACAATGCAGTGATTCGGCCACAGGAGTTGAGCCGCAGATTGCTAGAAGCCCCCCGACAGCTGTAAGAGGCGAGGAGCGGCTCCTCCCCCGGAGCCCTGGAAGCACAGCGCTTTGACTTTAGCCCCGAGAAACGATTGACCTGGGACTTCTGGCCTCCAGAACTGTGTGAGAACAAATTTTTGCTGCTTTAAACCATCAAGTCTGTGGCCATTTGTTTCAGCAGCCACGGGAAACGAATACGCTGGCAAACGGTTTCTGCGGTGATGACACGCGTCCCCCCTGCAGGGCGAGAGTCTGGCTGGGCCTCACCCGCACTGGGCATCTTCCATCCTTTTCATTCTAGCCGTTCTGGGGGGTCCATAGTAGTGAGGAGACAGGAATGATTATCTTCAGAGGCGAAACCTGAGGATCAGGGCGTGACTCAGTGACAAGCACTCACCTGTGGGTAACAGAGTCCACGTCTGCCAGGTACCCAGGTGTCAAGCAGAGGCACTTCTAGCAGATGCCAGGGCTTCACTGGAAACAAGCTAAATGTCCACTAATAGGGACCCAGTTCAGCAAATTGTAACCTGCCCAAACAGTGGAACACCAAGTGGTCACTAAAGATGAATATTGAATGCCATGAAAGGTCCTTGTGACCTATTATAGAATTAAGGAAGAAGAAAGAGAAAGGGCGATCGGATCACATTCCCATAAGGAAACACTGTCAAGAAGGAAACACTCTGAAACGAGTATTGGGGTGGGAGGATCCTTTGCCTCTGGGTTTTCTAGTCTGTCTGAATGAATACCGGTCACTTGAATACAGGCACACCCGTTTTATTGTGCTCCTCTTTATTGCACTTTGAAAATACTGCACTTTTTTACAAACTGAAGGCTTGTGGCAGCCCTACGTCTAGCAAGTCTGCTGGCACCATTTTCCCAACAGCATTGGCTCACTTAGGATCTCTGTGTCATATTTTGATAACTCTCGAACTAATTCAAACCCTCCCACCAAAAAGATTGTGACTCACTGAAGACTCAGATGATGGTCAGCATTTTTAGTCATCAATTATTTTGAAATTAAGATATATAGATTGTACGCTTTGGCATAATGCTATTGCACACTTAATAGACTACAGTATATAGTGTAAACGTACTTTTTTTTCCCTTCTCCTTATTTTTTTTTGTCCGCACCACATGGCATGCGGGATCTTAAATTCTCTGACCAGGGATCAAACCCGTGCACCCTGCAGTGGAAGTGCGGAGTCTGAACTGCTGAGCTGCCAGGAAATTCCCTAAACATACTTTCTGTACGCACTAGGAAACCAAAAAGTTCACGTGATTTGTTTTATTGTCATCCTGGCTTTGTCGCGGTGGTCTAGAACTGAACCTTCAGTATCTGCACGCTCAGCCTGTGTGCAAACACAACTGAAGTGTTCCTGAAAGCTGTCCTGGGCCTCCTGCAGGTGCCCCGGTGTTCCAGGTGAAGCCCCAGGACGTGACAGTGAGATCCGGGGATTCCGTGGCCCTGCGGTGCCAGGCCTCCGGAGAGCCAGTGCCCACGGTGGAGTGGTTGCGAGCGGGCCAGCCCGTGCGGGCCAGCCGGCGGCTCCAGACCCTGCCAGACGGGAGCCTGTGGCTGGAGCGAGTGGAGGCCAGAGATGCAGGCCCGTATGAGTGCGTCGCGCACAACCTCCTGGGCTCTGCCACGGCTCGGGCATCCCTGGCCGTGAGAGGTATGGGGCGCCCCTGCCCAGATCTTCATGGATGGGGGTGGGATCCTCTGCCCGACGGGATCTGTGTGTTGCTTGGGGGGCTCCTGACTCAGTGTCCTGTCAACTCCCTGACTCCTCTTTGCTTGGAGTCACAGACTTAGAATGAACCAGCCCAGAGGGCCTTAAGAGGTCATCTTGTCTACCTTGCTCTTTACACCTGGGGAAACTGAGGCTCTGAAATGCTGAGTGCTTGCCGCTCCTCTTGGATCCTGGCCCTTCCAGCTTAGCTGGTACAGACTGGTGTCCTTCGTTTGGACACAAAGGACTGAGCGTGTGCATGCTCAGTCGCTTCAGTTGTATCTTGCGATCCTACAGACTATAGCCCGCCAGGCTCCTCTGTCCATGGGGATTCTCCAGGCAAGAATACTGAAGTGAGCTGCCATGCCCTCCTCCGGGGGATTCTTCCTGACCCGGTGATCAAACCTGCATCTGCCTGCATCTCCTGCATTGCCAGGCGGGTTCTTTACCCATTGAGCCACCTGGGAAGCCCCTTTGGGCACGCACAATCCTATAATGTGAAGGAGTGAAGCAAGGGTGTCCACAGTACCCACCTTGGGGGTTGTGGTGAAGTCTGTGAATTGGTGTTGCCCTGAGCTCTGCCCGGCCATGGTAGGTGGTCAGTAATGGATGCTGCCTCCTGGTGATGCTAAACCCTGACATCTCAGGTCTCTTCAAGCAGCTTCCTTTTCCTTTGGGTCAGATCAAACTTTAAAATTTGGTAAAGGACTATGCTGAGAAACTGCACTAAAATGACTGAGATTGCATAAAGGAAAGTCACAAAATATATTCTTTCTGTGCATCTGTAGGAGACACTCCATATTTGTGGCTCTGTGACTCTGTCCCTGTCCATGGCAGACATCACTAATCTATCACCACCCACGACATCAGATCCCTTCTCCACAGAGCATTTCTCCATGCAGCATCTCTGCACTGACTTGGATTGGGAATCGACACTTGGCCACTTTAAAACCCACTTGAAACCCACTGCCAACCAACAGTGGGACCCTTTCTGGCCTTTTTGGTTTCCTCATCTCCTGCAGGCAGGGACAGAACATGGACACATGCAGTTCTGAAAACCCAGTGGTTCTCAGACTCCCGGCCACAGATGCTGTCTCTAGAGCAACTGTAGGTCTGAGCAGACCTTCCCTTTATTTCAGTTCTTACCCTGTCCTGTCGAAAAGCTCCCACCCCAAACCACAGAGCTCTTCACATGGCCTCTGGGTTAGTTTCCTGTGGTTGCCATAACAAAATAGCTCAAACCAGGTGGCCTGAAGCAACAGAAACGTATAATCTTGCAGGAGGGTAGAAATCTAAGATCAAGGTGTCAACACAGTTGGTTACTTCCAAAACCTGTAATAGAGAATCTATCCAGCCGTCTCCTCTAGCTTCTGGTGGTTTGCTGGCAGTCTTTATTTTGATGTTTATTTTTTGGCCACACCATATGGCATGCAGTATCTTATTCCTTGACCAGGGATCAAACCCAAGGCCCCCACAAAGGAAGTGCAGAGTTTGATCCACCGGACCACCAGGGAAGACCCTGGTGACAGTCGTTAGACCTCCTTGGTTGTAGAAGCATCACTTTGGTCTCTGCCTCCATGACCATGTGGCATTCCTCCTGTGCTCATGTCTTTCCCCTTTATATACGAACCCCAGTCATATCAGATTAGGGCCCACTTTCCTGACCTCATGTTAACTTGGTTACCTCTGTACAGACCTTATCTTCAAATAAGACCACACGCTCAGGTACTGAGGATTAGGGCTTCAACACATCCTTTTAGGAGGACACAGTTCAATCCCTAACAGCTTCCTTACTTTTTTAATGGAAACAACTAATTTTTATTATTATATTAACTCGTATATGTTAACCATAGAAGGGCCAGAAAATTTTTTAAAATCCATGAAGATAAAAATAGTGATCAATTATCTCTGATCATTCAGGTATCAGGAATAGCTCAGGTAACATTTGGGGGTGTATATTTATACCCTTTTCTCTGAATGTAAAGAGATATATATATTTTTTCTTTTTACAAATGAGTACAAATGTACAAGTTGTGTTTACAACCAGCCATCTTTCTTACTCTATTACGGAAAATATTCCATGACAGTAAGCCTAGTCCACACCTTCTGTGATGGTTTCATATCATTTCATAGGGACATTTTTATTTTTAATAGAAAAAAAATTTTTTTGGCTGCACCACAAGGCAGTGAGATCTTCCTTGATCAGCGATTGAACCCATGCTGCCTGAGTTGGGGGTGCTGAGTCTTAACCACAAGACCACCAGGGAAGTCCCATTTTTAAAACATAATCGCTGTTGGCTTCGTTAAACAAGCAACAGGTTTTTCTTTTCCAGTTTCCCCTCTGACAACCATCGTGTAGCGCACATCTTTGTGTGCTGGCCTGAATATTTCTCTAGGATACATTCCTTCAAGGGGACATTGCTAGGTAAAAGATGTCCAAAGGCTTTGAGGCTCCCTACCCCTCTCCCTCCTTTCCCATTGGTCTGGGGGAGCACCCTGGCTCATGGGGGACAAGAAGCTGCCAAGTCACCCCACATCTGAGAAAGCTGACAGTGGCTTGTCATCCCTGGCCTCCAGTCTCTGTCCCCTTCTGCAGCTGCCAGGGTCATACTGCTGCCTTTTTACCTGCTGCTCCCAATTCCTTCCTTGCCCCCTTATTACAAGGCCGGGGTTAGGTTCACGGCCTTTCCCTATTCCCCCAATAAACCCGAGCTGCGGATATTGACAGGAGACATCCCAGATGGGCATCAAATCTCATCAAACCCCAGCAGGCAATGGCACTGCTTCCTGGAATCCAAAATCAACCAGCCCCCTGATTTACCCACTTAGGATCTTGGCAGTTGAGTGTTTTATGTTAGTTTTTCGACAGATCATTGGCAATTTCTTGTTAATTTCCCCAGAGGGCTGGTGAGCAGAGAGTCAGGCTAGCTTCTGTTCTCTTGCCCCCTGGAATGCCATCTGTCCAGACGAGACAGCTGGCCCATTAGGCAGAGGAAGCACCCCCCTGTGCCCGTATCGTCCATTTGATTAGTGCTCAAGAGCGTCTGCTAGCAGACTGCCTGGCGGCTGCTAGAAACCCAGCCCATCCCAGCGGGGCCAGCAGCAGGGTGGCTGGAGCCAGCACTACACTGATGGAATGGGAGGTGTTCAGGTGGCGGCATTTAGTTCCTGGCTTGGTGCCCTGCCTCTCCACCCTGGCTCCTCCAGTGTACCAGTCCACCACCCCCCATCACCTGGCATTTCAGAACCCAACAGGTATTTGGCACATCTGCGGTCCCACCTCCTCATTTTATAGAGGAGCCAACTCCAGGGTGGCATGAGGGCCTAACTTGCCCAGCTTTTCAAGAAGGTGTGAGAATGAAAAGCTGGCACCACCTCTTCAGGGGCTTCCTCTTAAATGCCCCCTGTCTCTCTCAAAGCCAGGATTGTCTAGGTGTTAAATTCATCACCCATGAGCTGTGTGTCCTTGAGCAAGTTCCTGCCTCTCTCTGAGCCTCAGTTTACTCCAGGAAAATGGACAACAGCGCCCACATAGCCTTGAGGGCACAGAGGTGGATAGTGTCCTTCTTGTTCTCTTCCTTCCTCACAGGGGAGCCCCGGGGGAGCCGGGGCAGCATGATCGGAGTGATCAACGGCCAGAAGTTTGGCGCAGCCATCCTCAACACCAGCGTGCAACAGGAGGCACGTTCCGGGGTCACCACCATCCGCAGCAGCATCAGCCACATCCCCGCGAGTGTGGGTGAGTGGGGGCCAGAGGACGCTCTGACTCCAACTGAATCCAAATCAAAGTGGGTGGAGGTGCGGACCACTTCCTCCCCACCCCGCAGCCCCAAGCCAAACAAAATAACTGCATTTAAAATCAGCCCCAGGGGGACTTGTCTGGTGGCCCAGTGGCTAAGACTCCATGCCCCCAATGCAGGGGGCCGGAGTTCAATCCCTGGTCAGGGAACTAGATCCTGGATGCTGCAACTAAGACCTAGAGCAGACAGATATATTTTTTTAAAAAATCAGCCTGAGAGAGTGTGACATGACCAGGTTTATATGAATGCAAGGGCAGATCGTGACTTTTTGCCACCACTGATTGCTGTGGGAGGTTTTCTCCACTGTTAAGGCAAGAGCTGCTAGGGAAGCCAAGGGAAGTCATCAGTAAGGAGTAAGGAATTCAGGATGGAGGGGACAGACATGGGGAAAGTGGAGAATAAAATTATCTAGAAGGCCTGGAGAATCAAGAAATGTCAACTCTCAAACAGATTCATAAAATAGTGTGTTCTAAGCAAATGGGCTTCCCAGGTGATTCTGGTGCGAAGACCCCACCTTCCAATGCAGGAGGCGTAAGAGATGCAGGTTCAATGGGTCAGGAAGATCCCCTGGACGAGGGCATGGCAACCCACTCCAGTATTCTTGCCTGGGAAACCCCACAGACAGGGGCGGCTGGCGGGTTACAGTCCATAGGGTCACAAAGAGTGGGACACGACCAAAGCAGCTTAGCAGGCATGCACGCAGATGGAATGTTCTGGAGAGACATTATAAACGCTGCTGTAACAGACCCTACCATCTCACCCAGCCCAGGGGCTCCTACATCCCCTCATGGGGGTCCAGAGGAGGGAGAGGGTTGTGCTGAAAGGGGTTTTGCTACGAGCAGCCCCTCCAGCACTGCCCTTGACCACAGACTGTGTCAGCCCTGGCTGGGGGGTATGGGGTGGGGCTGCAGGGGGTCACTCCAGGCTGCTGTCAGTAGACAGCAAGTGAGACGCTGCCCAGATGCGGCTGCTTTTCTTCCAGCTGCAGGAGCAGGAGCCATGGAGAAGCCTCTGGCCCCAGGCCAGGCACTCAGGCTCTGTTTAGCAGAAGCAGAGACACAGAGGCCAGGAAGATTCTGCTCCCAGGCACGGGGGCCCGGCTGGCTCCTGTGAACATCAGCCCTCTCGCGCCTCTTCTGAGCCAGCAGTTTGGCCAAGAAGCTGGACCATCCCTGGCCCCAAGCCAGCAGGGATCCCCCTCCCCCCAGTCCCAGATCCCACCTGCCCCAAGCAGAGGCTGAGCTTCATGGGAGATCTGAGAATCCCTGTCCAGGACATTTTTTTGGTGGTGGTGGTGGCGGGGGTGCTCCTTTTTTCAAGTCAGTGGTTCTGTGTCTCCCAGGCTGTTATGGAAGGTGTCTACAAGTTAGGAGACTTGGTTAATTTTCACCTTGGTCCAGCATGTATACAGTGATGGTCTGTACATTTCTGGGCTCTGTGGTGACCCAGTAGCCCTCAGTATTTATTGAACTCAGTTGAATACTAAATGGACTCCTCTGCATAAATATATTTTGCTAATTTTCACAACTAGTCCATTGGATTAGTGGATATTGTCTTCACCACTTCCCAGGTTCTGGCCCAGGTAATCATGAGGCTGGGCCTGGGCGGTGGGGGGAAAGGGACCGATCTCTCTTATTGGGGCAATAGGGAGCCACAGAGGGACCTTGAGCAGGAGAGCCTCTGCCCTTAGGATCCAGCCTCTGTGTCCACCCATCCAGGGCCTCTGATGCGGGTGCTCGTAGTCACCATCGCCCCCATCTACTGGGCCCTGGCCGGAGAGAGTGGAGACGCCCTGAACGGCCACTCCCTGACGGGTGGCAGCTTCCAGCAGGAGTCGCATGTGGAGTTTGCCACAGGTAAGCGTGGGGCTGGGGGGGAGGTGGTCTCCCCCGAGGTGGGCCAGGTGGGGCTGAGGTCTGAGCCCTGGGCCTCTCCCCTTTGGTGACTCCAGCCTTGGGGGGTGGGGTGGGTTGCAGGGGAGCTGCTCACAATGACCCAGGTGGCCCGGGGCCTGGATCCCAATGGCCTCCTGCTCCTCGACATGGTGGTCAATGGCAACATCCCTGAGAGCCTAGCGGACGCAGATCTGCAAGTGCAGGTGGGGGGTGGGGGGGTGGCGAGCCCTGGGGTGTGCAGGTGGGGTGGGTGAGAGAGAGTGGGAGGTCCTGCCCCAATGCCCCCCACCCCCGCCACTGTTGCCCCAAGCAGCTGAGGCCCTTTCTTTCCTGGCCTCCCAGCAGGGTCTGGGCCTGGCCTGGCCTGACTTAGAGGAGGACCAGCCCCCAGTGGGAGGATGCTCTGGGTCCAGCTTCCCCGACAGCCCGAGGGAGCCCAGCTGGTTGGAAGCAGAGCTGAAAGGCCCACCAAGCCCACATCCCCAGTCAAGGACAGGGTCCCTCGCCCCTTGGAAGTTGGTACCCTGATGTCCTTGTTCCCCCACCCCCCACCCTGCCCAGGACTTCCAGGAGCGGTACGTGCAGACGGGGCCCGGCCGGCTCTTCGTGGGCTCCACGCAGAGCTTCCTGCAGGACAGCCTCCGCTCGTTCCTACGCTGCAACAACAGCATCCGGTACAGCGCGGCCCAGGGCCCCCAGCCCCAGCTGGTGCAGCACCTGCGGGCCTCCGCTATCAGCTCGGCCTTCGACCCCAAGGCCGAGGCCCTGCGCTTCCAACTCGACACGGCCCTGCAAGCTGGTGAGGCCCTGTCCGTCTCCCCAGCTCCCATGGCCCCAGCCAGGGCCCCCAGATGAGGCTGCGCCGTCTCTCACCAGGCACCTTGGGCACTGGGGCCCGCGTGAACTCAGGGCCCATCCCCTTTGCCTTGCAGAAGAGAATGAGGTCGGCTGCCCAGAGGGCTTTGAGCTGGACGCCCAGGGAGAGTTCTGTGTGGGTGAGCACCCTCCCTGCCCCGGCACGGATGAGGGAGGCCTCCTGGCCTAGGAAGGGCGAGCTGGCGGGAGGGCCTGGGAGCACGCACCGCCAGACCTCCCCCCTCCCCGCAGACAGGGACGAGTGCTCTGACCGTCCCCGGCCCTGCTCCCACTCCTGCCACAACGCGCCCGGCCACTTCTCCTGCTCTTGCCCCACTGGATTCGCCCTGGCCAGGGACGGAAGGACCTGCAGAGGTGAGCGGGCCCCCTGGGGAGAGGCTCGCCGGGGACCTGGCCCAGGGGCGTGCAGGGAGATTCCGGGCTTGGACCCCGGGCCAGGGGGCACACCCCTCAGGGGACATGAGCCGAGGGGTTCCAATGACCTGTTCTCACGGAGACCTTGCTGTTTTGAGGGCCTCAGCGCTGGGAGGCTCAAGTACTTGGGGGTGAGGGGGCTCCTCAAAGATATACACGTGCTCACAGCATGCACACCCCGAGAAGCCTCGGTGGGCATTTCTGGTCAACTGGAAGTGAGCTGACACCCGCCTGTCCCCTCCTGTTCTACTTGCCCCCTTATCAAAGCTGCTGGACGACAAACCTGACCGTGAGCTGCGGTCTAGACACTGATGCCCTGCCTGTGCCTTCCATCCCACCAGTGGGGCCTGGCATTGCTGGGTGTCTTCGGGGCATCCAAAGGGTGCTGTCTGCAGCCTCACTTCAGATGCCACAGGCCAAGGCCCAGGGCCCCTTGGGGTGGCCTGTGTGCTCCTGGGAGTGTTGAGACGATGGCCAGCGCTAGCAGGAGGGCCGGGGACCTTCGTGCCAGGGGCGTCTGGGCCTGGGGACAAAGCCTGTGTGGGTGGGTGGGCTGGGCCTGGGGACAAGTGTTCATGCGCCCCGCTCCCCCGCCCCCAGATGTGGACGAGTGTGCGTGGGAGGCCGACCTTTGCCAAGAGGATCAGCACTGTGTGAACCTGCTGGGGTCCTACCACTGCCTGCCCGACTGCAGGCCTGGCTTCCGGGTGGCCGCCGATGGAGCCAGTTGTGAAGGTGATCAGAGCAGGGGGCTGAACCGTCCTGCTCCTGGGAGCCCAGTGGTGGCCAGGGTGCAGCAGAGGGCCTGTCGTGTGTCTCTGGGACGCTGGGCCTTCAGGGAAGCTGGAAGTCTTCTTGGCAGAAGGAGCCCAGAGAGGCCAGGGAGGAGGCCTGAGCTGGGCACAGGAGGTCCAAGTACCCTTGGCAAGCGCCCTTCTCCTTTGTGGGCCCCAAGTTTGTCATCTGTCTGCCTGATGAAGGGGGGCCAGGTCAGGGATGGCAAACACAGGCTACTTCTGCTACCATCTCCCCTCACGGGAGATGCTGGACCATGCTGGGCGTGGTCCAGCCTCAGCATCCTTCTTGACACAGCTTCTCCAGCCACAGTGACTACTGCAGCTGCCCTTCGAAACGAAACCTAGGTGCCAGCCCTGGATACGTGACTTTTAGGGTCCTTCCGTCCTAGCATTCTAGGCTTTCATGACGGTGGGTCCTTGGGCTTCCCTAGTGGTGAAAGCATCTGCCTGCAATGCTGCAGACCCAGGTTCAATCCCTGGGTCAGGAAGATCCCCTGGAGAAGGAAATGGCAACCCACTCCAGTACTCTTGCCTGGAAAATCCCATGGATGGAGGAGCCTGGTGGGCTACAGTCTGTGGGGTCGCAAAGAGTCAGACACGACTGAACGACTTCACTATCTTTCTTTCTTTCTTTCTGGTTCCTCCGAGAGAGGCCATCAGTGAGTGGGGAGAGCGTGGTCAATTTGGACCCAGAAGAGGCAGTCACTCCATTTCGGTGACTGTCTGTAGGACTCCCCTGCCTCCTGTCTTCTTCCTGCCCTCCCTTCCTTCTTTCTCACCGAATTTTGAGCTCTGCCCATTCACCAGGGTCCTAAACCCTTCACATGCATGAGCCAGTTTTCTCCCCGTGACTCCATGAAAGAGTCCTGTCGTGACCCCTTTTTACAGATGAGGAAACTGAGGCTCAGGGAGGGGAAGTTCCTGACTCAAGGATCCAGAGACATGGCAGATTTCAGTCCAAACCTGGGGCTTTGCCTCCAAAAGCATTAAGCAACTCAGTCGTGTCTGACTCTTTGTGACCCCCATGGACTGTAGCCGGCCCGCTAGGCAATGGGATTTCCCAGGCAAGAGTACTGGAGTAGGTTGCCATCCTTTCTCCAGGGCATCTTCCCCATCCAGGGATGCAACCTTGGTCTCCTGCATTGGAGGCAGATTCTTCACTGTCGGAGTCACCAGAGAAGCCCCGTGCCTCCAGAGTCCACCTTTTAAGCCCCTTCCTTCCTTTGAACCCAGACCGTTCTTACCCTCCAAAGCTGGTATAATTAAAAGTAGTGGTTGCAAAGGCTGGCATTCCACCTACTGGCACTGAAGTTGAAGAAGGAGACAGGGATGAGGCCCAGATGCTGAGAGGCGTGATGTGTCCTGGGGGAGGGGCTCTGGGCTCAGCAACCCCCCCCTCCCCCCCAACCCCACCCACCCTTGCTCCTGCCTTTCCAGATGTGGACGAGTGTCTGGAGCAGACGGACAAGTGTCACTACAACCAGATTTGTGAGAACATCCCAGGCGGACACCGCTGTGGCTGCCCCAGGGGCTACCGGGTCCAGGGCCCTGGCCTGCCCTGTCTAGGTACCGGGAGAACTATCCCCTCGCTGGGACCCTGGTCAGCACCCCCAGCTCACGGGCAGGGAGCTGTCTTAACAAGGATGACACTGAGTTCAGTGAACAGAAATAGCTGCCAAGACCAACTGTGCGCCCAGCACGTGCCTGATCTGTGCTTCGCCTGCTGTTTCCCACCCCGTGCCCAGCAAGGTCACCTTCCCTGGGGGCCTAGGAGGGGGAGGAGGGTGGTGAGATGTGGGTGGGTCTCAGAGAAGCTTTGTCAAGAATGAGCCTGGAGGCTGAAGGGAGGAGCATTGAGGGACCTTGGGTCTGGGGCTCGGGGCTGGGGGAGATGGGAACCTCTCGGAGCTGTAGATCCTGGAACGGGATAGGAGGCTGGGGGTGCGGAGAGGGAGGGCTTAGTGGCAGGCTGGTGTGCAGGGGGTGAGGCAGCTGGATTCTGGGAAAGGCTGGAGGGCAAGAGAGATGGCCGGAGCCAGGCAGAGCAGCACAACTCTGAGCCGCCGGGGCACCCGGCCTGGCCCTGCTCCCCCCAGATATCAACGAGTGCCTGCAGCTGCCCGAGCCCTGCGCCTACCAATGCCACAACCTCCAGGGCGGCTTCCGCTGCCTGTGCCCGCCGGGCCAGGCTCTCCTCCGCGACGGCAAGACTTGCACCCCGCTGGAGCGCAGTGGACCAAATGTGACCACCGTCAGCCACCGGGACCTCCTGGTGGCCTGGCTGCGGGCCCGTGCCCCCAAGCCTGGGGGGTCCTACCACGCCTGGGTCTCCCTCCAACCGGGCCCCAGAGCCCTGAGTGTGGGCCGGGCCTGGTGCCCGCCTGGCTTCATCCGGCAGAACAGCGTCTGCATGGGTAAGGTCGAGCCCCGTGGGACACACCCCGCTGTGCTGTCTCAGGCCCCCGGGCTGGGCGTGTGGGCACCACACCCGTGTTCAGAAACCCAGGGTTCACCGGCGAGTGGGCTGGGCAAGGCAGGCAGATGGCTGCCTCCTCACTACATGATTTCTCGGAACCCCGGCTGTGCCAATGGGCAAGGGGCTTCCAAAGTGGGTGGAGCGTTTTCCAAACCATTTGACTTCAGGACTACTTTACCCCTGTGGCTCAGCTGGTAAAGAATCCGCCAGCAATATGGGAGACCTGGGTTCAGTCCCTGGGTGGGGAAGATCCCCTGGAGGAGGGAAAGGCTACCCACTCAGTATTCTGGCCTGGAGAATTCCATGGACTATATAGTTCATGGGGTCGCAAAGAGTCAGACACGACTGAGCGCCTTTCACTTTCACATTACCCAGAGGGAGGGCAAATGTTCCCAGGAGCCCACTTGGAGGAACCCTCCTCCAGGTGCGCAGAGGTGAAGCAGTCAGGGAGGGAAGGAGAACCTTCCAGGTTGACCTGGGAAGGTGAGCGCTACAGACTCATGCAGGTAGAGGGCCCTTGTGTGGAGGCAGACTGGCGCTGGGCTGCAGAGAGGTGAAGGGGGAAGATAGCCTGGAAGGCAGGTGTGTTTCAGCATCACTGCCTGGACAGAACCGTCTGTCCTGGGAGCGCTGTCTGCCCCCCACCCCCACCCCATGGCTTGGTGCACGCGGAGCCCGGGGCCTCTCCCCACCTCCCCATCCAGGGGAGGTTGAAAGTGAAGTGGCTCAGTCCTGTCTAACTCTTTGCAACCCCATGGACTGTAGCCTACCAGGCTCCTCCGTCCATGGGACTTCCCAGGCAAGAATACTGGAGTGGGTTGCCGTTTCCTTCTCTAGGAGATCTTCCCAACCCAGGGATTGAACCCAGGTCTCCCACACTGTAGGCAGACACTTTACCATCTGAGCCCCCAGGGAAGGGGCATGGCAGGGAGAAATCGCTGGTGCCTAAGCAGAGGTCTCCCTGGCTTGTCCCGAGCCTGGCGGTAGGCAGGCCTGAGGCCAGCTGGGCATCTGTGACTCAGTGTTTCTCTGCCCACACCCCCCACCCCGCCCTGGGGCCAGACCTGGACGAGTGCCGCGTGAGAAACCTGTGCCAACACGCCTGCCAAAACACAGAGGGCAGCTACCAGTGCCTCTGCCCCGCAGGCTACCGCCTCCTCCCCAGCGGGAAGAACTGCCAGGGTGAGCAGGAAGGGGCGTCTCTCACCCAGTCTGCGCTCTCTCCAGCCCCCCCCACCCATCTCCTGTGACGGAGGGGCAGGGAGGGGCTATGTGCTGCCCCCTCCAGGTGGCCAGAGCCAGGGCGGGACCCACATTCCCAGCGGGAGCTAAGAAATTGTTGTGGACAGGCTCTGAAAGCAGCTGGGCTGTGTGTCCCTGGACAACTTGCTTCACCTCTCTGTGCCTCAGCCTCCTGGCAAGGTGGGGCTCACACAGCCCCTCCAATAAATGTTTGGATGAGGAGGGTGGGCGCAGAGCCCGTGCTCAGCAAGGCAGCGGCTGCAAGGAGTAGAAGGGAGGTCCTCTAAGCCCCAGGCCAGCACATTTCCCCTGAGGTCCTCTGGAGCCGGTCGGGTCTTGCTGCTGCTTCTCTATGAAGCAGGAACGCCCGTGTCTGCTTGGCTAGTCTCCATCCCTCACTCTCTATCATGGGGGGTCACCGAATGGCCTCTGCAACGGTGGGGCTCCCACGGGGATGGGGGTGCAGAGAAGGATCACTAGCCGTGGCCTCTCGGGTTCCTAGGGCAGTCATCGTCTCCCTCAGCCTCTCCACCCCAGCTCCAGGTTCAGCGGTCCCCGGAGCTCCCACCTGTGGAAACAGGGAGGTGCCAGGGGCCTGCCAGCTGGGCTGTTACAGGGCCAGGCTGGGTGGGGACCGGGCAAGGGGCTGCCCACCTCGCTGTCCTCTGAGGGCATCGCTCTCCCACCTAACCGCGCCCCCCCATGCCTCTCTGGTTCCTGCCTTGGGCTCTTTCCCCTTTGCCCCATGTCTTCACCCTGCTCTCCTCACCCACCTGCCTGCCCAGACATCAACGAGTGTGAGGAGGACGGCATCGAGTGCGGGCCCGGCCAGATGTGCTTCAACACCCGTGGCAGCTACCAGTGTGTGGACACGCCGTGCCCCGCCACCTACCGGCAGGGCTCCAGCCCCGGGTAAGGGCCGGGCTGGCTGGGGGTAGGGGGCGGTGGGGGGCGGCTGGTCTGCCAGGAGCTGGGCAGCGGGGCACTCTGGACCCTGGAGAGCCTGACTCCTCCTCCTCCAGGAAGGCTTTGTCTCGGGCCAGAGGGTCAACCCTGCCAGAATTCCTGGGCGGGGCTCCTGAGCTCAAGGGCAAAATACCATCAAGAAAAGCACTTTTCCTGCAGCCGTTTGGGATGTGAACTTACTTGAACGGTTATCATTTCCTGCACAGCACAGCTTCCGCTAAGCAGGGAGCGCAGGGAGAGGCCAGAGCCGGGAGAGCGCTGGGAGGGAGGGCTGCTGGGGGATGCACACACAGGGACACGTGGGGACATGTGAGTCCATGCAGGAACACACGCGCAGGTGCATAAACTCCACCCAGAACCCCACACAAAACCCGAGGACTCAAACACGCACAGCCACACAAACACAAAACACGTTCCTCCAGGCCTCTCACTGTGGCTACAGATACTCATAAAGATGCGCAGACGGGACCTTGACTGGCAGGAGCTGCAGCTGTCAGCGCAAGGATCTTGGGTGTCCTCCTGCCTGGGACAGCATTAATCAGGAAGCCTAGGCTGGGGGGTGGGGGTGTGTGGAGAGGCGAGAGAGAGTGGGCGCTCTTGGCAAGGTTGAACCCCCTTGGTGGTGGTGATGGTTTAGTCGCTAAATCGTGTTGGACTCCTTGCGAGCCCATGGACTGTAGCCCGCCAGGCTCCTCTGTCCATGGGTTTCTCCAGGCAAGAATACTGGAGTGTGTTGCCATTTCCTTCTCCAGAGGATCTTTCTTCCCCAGCTAGGGATCAAACCCGGGTCTCCCGCATTGCAGGCAGATTCTTTACCAATTGAGCTAGGAGAGAAGCCCCCCTTACCCCGCTGCAAATCCAGAGCCAGTTCTGGGGTTCTGGAGTGCCTAGAGGGCTTATCACTGATGGGGGACCTGTTTGGGTGGGAAGGGGCAGGTCTCTGGCTTCTTGAAGCCTCAGTTCGCTCGAGCTCTCTAGAATGGGCTAACAGTGACGCTTGTAAAGGCATGAGGCGCGCGAGGTGGTGGTCGGGGAGCTCACAGCTGAACTGCTGGAATTTGGGGTGGAGTCTGGTTTATGCGGACAGCCGGGACCCGCGGATGGCAACCCGGAGTCGGTCTGTCTGTCTGTCCCACAGGACATGCTTCCGGCGCTGCTCGCAGGACTGCAGTTCGGGCGGCCCCTCCACGCTGCAGTACAAGCTGCTCCCGCTGCCCCTGGGCGTGCGCGCCCTCCACGACGTGGCCCGCCTGGCCGCCTTCTCCGAGGCCGGCGTCCCCTCCAACCGCACGGAGCTCAGCGTGCTGGAGCCCGACCCGCGCAGCCCCTTCGCGCTGCGCCCGCTGCGCGCCGGATACGGCGCCGTCTACACGCGCCGCGCGCTCACCCGCGCCGGCCTCTACCGGCTCACCGTGCACGCCGCGGCGCCGCGCCACCAGAGCGTCTTCGTCCTGCTCATCGCCGTGTCCCCCTACCCCTACTGAGGGCCGCGGGCAGGGGCAGCGACCTCCGGGGATGGGGGCTAGAGAGGACCGGACCCGCCCCCCCCCCCCCCCCGGCGGTGCCCTGGCCCATGCCACCAGCTGTGGCAAGCGACGTCATCTTCTCCTGTCCCCGTGCGTCAGCGAGACCTTCAGCAAACACGGCCCGGCGAGGCAGCCTTGACCCCAGGACAGCGAGCACCCGAGCTCGCCTAGCTTCCTCCGCCGTGGGGGTGGAGCCCAGCAGACAGGTGACAAACGCTGTCCTTCGGTGGCGAAGACAGCAGGCAGGCTGGGGTGAATGAAGCCTGATGCGGTCTTTCCGCAAGCCTCAGGGGACCCCGGGCCGGGACACAGCGCCCTGAGACACTAAAGGGGAGCGGGGGCAGCAGCCGCTGTCACCGCCCCCACCCCCATACCTGGCATTGGCATCCTGAACCGGGTGTGTGTACGGAAACCATAAAAACGTCTTTGTTTACCAGTTTGGTTTCTTCCTCCAGTTATTTTGCTTTGGTAAGGAGGGGCTTTGGGAGGGAGACCACCACCCTTTAGGTCCTGGTGCTCCAGTCCCATGGTGAGATGGGGCTACCACGGCCCTCCCCGTGGATGGAGCCCAGGCTCCTTGTGGATAGAGTGGCCCTGGCACCTTTCTGGGCTCAGTTTCCTCAGCCAAAAATATGAAAATATGAGAGTGCCCCCAACCCAGGGCTGTGGGGATAATTAAATGAAGAAGGAAATGTATCACACAGACAGCAGCTATCCCTGGTAGCAAAAAGTAATGCTTAATTTAAAATAATTGCTAATTGTATTTGAGGAACGAAATGTTTCCTGCCATATCAGTAAACAATGTTGTCACAGTCAGTGATTGCAGCCCTCCAGTGTGAGCTGGTGAGCCCCAAGGAAGCTCAGGATGTGAAAAACACAGGAAACTGACCCCAGGTGGCTGAAGTGCACATGAAAGGATTGAGTTCAGTGAGCCTTGCATCCTCCCATACATAGAAAAGTACTCCATTCCTTAACTTGGGACATGTGGTTTCCTTTAACAAAAATCTTTTAATGTTCAGCCTACCTGCCCTTTGTTGCAAAACTTCTGTATAACCTGGCTCCTACCCTTGCCTCCTCTGAGCAGTTTTCTCAGGCTAATTTGAGATGCTGCCAACCAGGCTTGAAGTCCTAAAAGTTGCCACCGAATAAAACATGACTCTCAACTTTTAGGTCATAAATACTTTTAAGTCGATGTATTTAATGAATTAATTACATTTGATCATTTCATCATCCACTGGAGAGTCATTAGGTCCTACTTATGTGCCAGACAGTGAAGGTAAAATTCCTGCGCTTGTGAAGTTTATGTTCTCATGGCAAAGGTTTATAGACGGCAAGGAAATGAAGATGTGTACCTGTCAGTTAGCAAAGGTGCTGGGGAGAAAAACTCTGTTGGGAAGGTGGGGGTTCGGGGGCAGTTTTTAATAGGCCATCAAGGTGGGCCTCACCGAGAAGGTGGCACTGGAGCAGAGACCCAAGGAAGGTGGGTCTGCACAGCCATGCAGAAGTCAGTGGAAGGGCGTTCTGGCAGAGGGAACGACAAACGCCAGGGTGTCCCAGGTAGGATGCTGCAGCTCGGCGGGAGGAGGGGTGGGGGGTGGGGAGCATGATGAGAAGCAAAAGAGGGTCAGGCAGATTCTGGGGGCCTGTGGGGCCACTGTAGGGGTCTTGGCTTCCACGGGGTGAGCTGCTGAGGGACATGATTGGAATGTCTGTGTTTGTACGGGCCTGTCTCCAGTGAGCTGGGAGAGGAGTCATCAGAAGCCCAGCAATGCTGTTCCTCGTGCTCCCCACTCCCTGCCCTCCCGCCCAGGCTGCCCACAGCCCCCGCTCAGGGATCTCTGTGTCAGCTGCCCCTAAACACAGCCTCTGGCAGAAAGAGGCCGTTTCTCTTCCACATGCTTCTGAAGAGGATGGGTCCTTTGTCCCAGCTCCCTTTGGTCAGTGTGACACTCACCTTCTGCCTAGCATCCCCAGCCTCTCATCTGGGCAACAAGAAAAGCAGAGTTATTTCCCACTAAGGGATGCGTGGCGATTAGACTTCATAAACGGAGCCCTTACAGCCGTGCTGGGGTAAACAGAGGAGTCTCTGCGTGCATTTTATAGGTGGAGAAAAGGACACTTAGAGCGAACAGGGCCCAGTCCCTTGCCTGAGAGGTGACAGGTTAGTGGTTAGACTGGGACTCCCACCAGCAGCCCCAACTGAATCTTCCCCACGGTACTCCCAGTTTCAAAGTTTGTTTCTTTTGAACCAGGCTTCCTTGGTTGCTGAAGACAGTATAGAATCAGCCTGCAATGCAGGAGACCTGGATTCGATCCCTTGGTCAGGAAGATGCCCTGGAGAAGGGAATGGCCACCTGCTCCAGCATTCTTGCCAGGAGAATTCTATGCACAGAGGAGCCTCGCGGGCACAGTCCATGGGATTGCAGAGAGTCGGACACGACTGAACAAATAGCCCTTCATTTTCTCTTAAACTGGGGGTCTGTGAACATCTTTCATAAAGAATCAAAGAGTGAAACATTTTGGCTTTGGGGACACATTAAACTTCTCCCCTGGCCATTGCACTGCAAAAGCAGTCACAGTCAACACACAGAGGAGGCGTGACTGGCTTCTAATAACACTTCATTCGTGTTTTAAGTTCAGTTCAATTCAGTCGCTCAGTCATGTCCAACTTTTTGTGACCCCATGGACTGCAGCACGGCAGGCCCCTGTCCATCACCAACTCCCAGAGCCTACTCAAACTCATGTCCATCGCTTTGGTGATGCCATCCAACACTCTCATCCTCTGTCATCCCCTTCTCCTCCTGCCTTCAATCTTTCCCAGCATCAGGGTCTTCTCCAATGAGTCAGCTCTTCACATCAGGTGGCCAAAGTGTTGGAGTTTCAGCTTTAGCGTCAGTCCTTCCAATGAATATTCAGGACTGATTTCCTTTAGGATGGACTGGTTATCTCCTTGCAGTCCAAGGGACTCTCAAGAGTCTTCTCCAACACCACAGTTCAAAAACAACAATTCTTCGGTGCTCAGCTTTCTTTATAGTCCCAACTCTTACATCCATACATGACTATTGGAAAAAAACATAGCTTTGATTAGATGGACCTTTGTTGGTAATGTCTCTGCTTTTTAATATACTGTCTAGGTTTTAAAGTTCATGAAATTTTCATGTGCTGCAGAACAGTCTTTTTTTTTTTTTTTTTTAAGCCATTTACAAATGCAAAAACCATTCTTAGCCTGCAGGCTTCATGAGAACAAATAGGAACCATAGTTTACCAATCGCTGGCTTAAAGCACAGAAGTTGCCAATGGTGGAATTTCAAGCTGGGTTGGTGAGAGAGTCCAGGGAGGGGGGAAGGAGGGAGGGAGGAGCTTCCCAGTTCCTCCTCAAACCCGCTTTGTCCGGGGCCCACCTGTAAAGACTATCCTTGGACTGAACAACCTTTTTTTTGTGCAGCCCTAGGGGCCATGGGTCACAACTTGAGCCCTGCCCTTTGCTGGGCTGTTAATATTTTATGGAGTCAGGGACTTTGCCGCCCATGAAAGGGTCAACCCTGGGGACGTGGCATTGAGTGGTGAGAATTGCTGCTCTCCCGCCTCCTCTCCCCAGACGCACGCTGGCCCTTCATGTTTGTCAAAGTATTTGTTGACTGTTCAATGCCCTATAGACCTGAGTTTATTTAATTCTCCCAGAAACTCCAGCGATTAAAAAAAAAAGTAGTATCTCTATTTCACAGATGAGGGAATGGGAGCTCAGAGAAGGTGAGCCACTTGGCCAAGCTCACACAGCACGGAGGGGAAGAGAAGGACTCAACGCAGCCTCCAGGCTCCCCTGCCTCCAGTCTCCAAGAAAGGAGGATGGAAAGGAGCTGGCAGGCCAGGAGCAGGATGAAGAGGAGAGACATCAGCAACTCCAGACCTGAGGAGCCGCCAAAGCAGGGAGTATTCTGTTGACCTCCTCCCACCCCCATCTCCTGCCCCCTACCCCCGCTCGCCTTCTCTTCTCTTAAGTTTCCCATCTGAAGCTCAGAAACAGAGACAGGTGAGAGGGAGCGATTGCTCCAAGTCTACCCCAACCAGGGGCAGACTTGGCCTGGAATCCAGGCTGTGATGCCGAGTCCTGTGCTTCCCACGCCACCCTCATCCCCAGAATGATCGCCAAGGGGAGGAGGTGCTTCCCAAGGAAGCTCAGCTGGCCACAGAGGGGTGTTTTCTACTCTGCTCTTCCAGCTGCCACCGCCATTGGCCAAAACCCCATCCAACTGCCCAGCCTCCTGCTGCTGCCTGACCTCTGAGGCTGTTCTGAACCATCAGGGGTGGAAAACAGCCCTGCAGGTCACTCATTAAACTCTCTGATGCAGCTTTTCCAAGAACCTACTCTGGACTCCGTGTTCCCTTTGGGTAGGGATAGGCAACCCGGGGTCCAACCCAGAGGGCACTCCCTGTTCCTGGGGCCAGTGCCCAGATCCAGACAGCAGCAAAGAGGCTTCTGGTGCCAACCATGAGATCGTCGCAGGGTGCGGGGCTGGGGTCTCTACACACCCAGGCCCCTCCATGAGCTGCGCATGCAGAGCTCTTGTGTGGCAGAGGAGAGCTGGGGGACAAGAAGGACCTACTCTACAGTCACAAGCTGCATCTATGTTCATAGGTTCTCGGGGGATTTAACAAGATCACGTCCACTGAGCGTGCCCTTCCGTTCAGACAACGGACCTCAACAGTCAGAGCTGACCCTGAGAAAAGCCACCTTGGATGCAGTGTGGAAGGTGCATTAGAGCAGGCAGTGAGCATAGGCAGGAAGACAGGTGAGGTGTCTCCTGCAGAGGTGCAGGTGCCAAGGGATGGTGATCTAAGACAACAGCAGTGAGGGGACTGCCCTGCTGGTCCAGAGGTTAAGAATCCACCTGGCAATGCAGGGGCCTCGGGTTTGATCCCTGGTCGGGGCATTGATATTCTACTTGGCGTGAGGCCAC